ATGGTATAACAACGGCAGAAACTACAGTTCTGGTAGCATGTGGTCTGATTTGAGGAGGAATCAGCAGTATTAACTCTAAAATTGGACAATGAAATCGGCAATGCAACCAAAACTGTTAACCTGCAGGCACACAAGATGAGTTCATTTTCAAGTCTGTATTCAACCCGTTAAACAACCCGTATACATGACAAAGACGATTTATCAGATGCACAGAAACTTTTTATATTAATGTCATTTGAGCAGTTGCACTGCTAATATTGCCCAAAATTAAGTTAAACATAGTGTTATAGACCACTGAGATGTAATGTTATTGGAAAGGAGAGTCTGAGCCTTTTTAAGACAGATATATGTACATACACGTAACACAAAATGTATGTTTCAGTCATCGAAATGTCCGACGGACAAAAACTGGCAAAAAGTCTGAACAGCCACAAATCAAAAGGTCGATTTCAAAGAAAGGATACACCTAGACCGCATGATTGCAACACAATATGTCACGAGCCCAGATACACAGCTGCAGCGTGTAACAGCAGATGCAGAGAGGTTCCTGTAGCAGCAGGTTAGACAGGGAAGGACCCTTCTGGTCTGGGGTCAGCTGTCCTGGACACGGTCCAGCACACTTGGCAAAAAGCTGCTCTCTGCGTGACACCGTACCGGGTATTCAAAACTTACACTCCAGTTAAGTATTACAAAAAGAATCAAGTTGAAGTTACGTTTTTTTTGCCTTTATTTTGCCCTGCAAATGTTGCAACACTAAATTTATATAAAAGGCAACAGAAGTTTTTATGATACTAATACCAAAGGGGATAAGATGACAGGTGAAGCTGACTTCATTTTTTGGATATATGCTCAGGAGAAATTAGTTCTGGGAGATATGACAAAAAAAATCAATAATTACAGAGTATTTTTTTAACATTTGGGTGGTTTCAGTGTCGCACTGTATTTATTTTTATTTGGCATGGCCTTTGTCTATGTTTATGGTGGCTTATTATACACTCAGGAGTACATAGAATATATAAATATATTTTCTTAAGGCTTTAATTTCTGTAGGGTGTGCTTGACCCCACAATACTGTTCAAAAAATGAAGAAATCAGAATGCATGAAACAGTTGCAGAATTAAGAGTTTAAAAATAATTTACCATGCAAAGTAGTAGAAAAAAAACCTTGAACGTCAATGAGTTAGTTTGAACTTTCTGTTCAAAACAAACTTTTTTTTCAACAGTTGTAAAACTGACAAATGGTCTGTTGTCGTAGAAAAGTGGGCGACTGTGACAATCGGTGTTGTTGGTACAATGTTGAGAAGGTACTTTTGACCCGGCCCGACATCGAATCCAGTGTTTTAATCACTGATCCCATCCTTCTGTACCGTCTGTAGTCTCATCATAATCATTGATCCCGTCCTTCTGTACTGTCTGTAGTCTCATCATAATCATTGATCCCGTCCTTCTGTACTGTCTGTAGTCTCATCATAATCATTGATCCCGTCCTTCTCGGCTGTCTAGTCTCATCATAATCATTGATCCCGTCCTTCTCGGCTGTCTAGTCTCATCATAATCATTGATCCCGTCCTCCTCGGCTGTCTGTCGTCTCATCATAATCATTGATCCCGTCCGTCTCGGCTGTCTGTCGTCTCATCATAATCATTGATCCTGTCCTTCTCGGCTGTCTGTCGTCTCGTCATAATCATTGGTCCCGTCCTTCTCGGCTGTCTGTCGTCTTGTCATAATCATTGATCCCGTCCGTCTTGACTGTCTGTCGTCTTGTCATAATCATTTGCTGTCTGTAGTCTCGTCATAATCATTGGTCCCGTCCTTCTGGCCCCTTGAATTCAACAACCTCAATCGCACTCTGTATTCCACGATGTCTTGGATTTTTTACTGCCAAAAAACTTCCAAACAGACGCAGCTCCTCTCTCGAACTCAAGTTCTTGTAGTGCATCTCCGGACTCACTTTCTTCAACCTCCATCTCTCTTTTCTTTTCTTTAATGTGCCGTAGCGACAGAGCCTCTCCCAACTGTTTTGTGGCTAGCTAGCAGCTATAAAGTTACCCCTTTGGCGGTGTAAATTTGTAAATGTACAACTATTAATTTTGCACGTTGTTTGTGTCACAAATTGTTGTGTGCCATGGTGTTTTACCCTGTCAAAGAGTTAGTTGTGGGTATTAATTGCAGTGTTATAACCATGCGTGGAAAGGGTACACAGTTGATACCCCTCTCAATGCATTCACAGGTCCCCCTGGTCGTAGCGCTCTTCACGGCTGTATATGAAAAATACAAATTGCACAGGAAATTAAAACCAGTATACTGGATGAATCGGTATACCACCCAGCAATACCCAGAATACATTCCCTTTTACAAAAGTGCTGCCCTGCCATATCCTGGCAGCATGTCTGCACAGGGAGCAGATCAAAGATTATTTGATATGAGCAGGGGCTGTGAAAAATCCCTGCCATATATGCGATGATGTTACATCAGACATTTGCAGCTCGGTCCTGGTCATTTGCACAGCCATAGCTTAGCCCATCTGCTACGAATAGAGATGACCCTTAAGTACGTAAAGCTGCCATAAGCCTCTGTTTCCTATTGTAAGCTGTTTTAGGGTCCTGTGGTTTGGCGCCATCTGCTTTGACTCATTATTTATATATTTCATATTTTCTTTTCCTCTCCTCATTGGCATGGCCTTGTTGGTGACATGCTCGTCCATGTGGGCGGTAGATGACGCTCCGCCTCCTAGACGGGTCACGTGTCTTCCTCCCACAGGCCTCCGCTCCTCTGCATTGGCTCCCGTCTTTCACTCTCTAGCCCCCAGCATGCACAGAGGCTGCTTACTTCTCTGGCACTTTTTCTTGTTGGCATCACGTTGGAGCAGGATGTTGGAAATCTTTGTTTTTCTCAACAGATAATAGAAAAACATTTATGTAATCTCTGTGATGAGTTTGCATGCCTGCATATAACAAAAATGATAAAATATCAATGCATTTCTCTTATTAGCCATTGCATGTTCCCTGTCCTTCTGAGACGACATGCAAGCATAGAAAACTGGTCATTAACATTAGCCAATCGGGTGTTTGATGATATTGACACAGACCCTTCCACTTCAAACAGACGTGTTGGAATAGAAATCTCAGCAACACAGAAAGGACCATAGGGCTCCTGCTCTGTCTGCCTTCACCTCAAAACATCCAAACATCTCTGGCTAGCATCCAGAGCGGATTGTGCTGTATGTTGTGTTTACGCCAAACAGACTTTACATACAAAGTCAGTGCAAAGACGCGAGTAAAGGCAAAATTTACTCGGGCGATAAATTCGCTTGACGCTGTGTTGCGAAAGCCTATTGCCGTTGAGATGCTCCTCCTGTCATCATTGACGTCCTGCTGTTGTTGAATCAGGAAACAAATACTGTAGCCGCAGGCGGGCACCCAGAGCTCTACGATACCTCATATTAGTAGAGACCGGACCAAACTATGTATAAATGTATGTGTATAAACCATATGGTACAAACAATGAAAAAGACGCCGTATTTACGCCGAGATGACGTTAGATGAGTGTTGATGGAGCTGCTACAATGTTAGCATAGCCTAGCACCGATCGATCCGAGCTCTATTGAGAAAAAGTTATTTGGTTGTCGTCTTGGGGAGAGAACTAACAAAACATGAATTCAACCTTTTTACAAATCAGCATCATTACCTAGTTATTTTGGCGTCTGTTTATTGCAATCAAATCACAGCAAAATATGTTTATTTTGTGTTCATACAGCTGTAGTAAACCACTCGACTTGCTAGATACAGTGAATACAGCTCGATGAAATTCACCGATCGCCTCCGGATGATGTTATGAACCCAGACGGCGTTTAGTGTCCTGGGATATCTGGGACTTCCACAAATTGTACAAAGCAGAAACAGCGGTGATCCCATAGGACTGAGACTGGTTATTGAAAAGGATGAAAGAGGAAGGTCCTTACTGTGTTGAACACAGCTCATACTGTGTGTGTGCACTCCTACGTGTTAGGAGGGCACCAGAAGAGAAATGCTTCTGATTTAATAAAGGCTTAATGGAGTGAATGTGGGAGCTTAAAAGTTTTCAGCTTTTAGTTTATATAATTTGAAATAGAAGTGCTTTGGAATCAGATGTATATGGGAAAAGATATAATCTCACTTCAAGCACCTCTTGAGAAGTTGTGAGACATTTTCATAAATGTTTAAGTAAAGAAAAAAAGGTCTTACAAATGTTATGTATGGCTGTTTCATATTGTTTGTCAAATTGATAAGTAATCTCTGATATGCCAAACAAGATATGGTACATCTTTGGACTCCTGTAAAGCCAGTATGGTTGGCAGAGTGTGAAAAGGGGGGCTTTAGGCTGTGGCACAGCTATTTAAGATTAAGGAAAGGAATTAAGTTGGGTGTGTGTTTGTTTGTTCTGTCCTCTTCACGTTTGTCTATAATGCCTTTGTCATCATAAGAGTGGGGTTAATCAGATTACACTTTAGGTTGTAAAGCTGGAGCTAGCGATATAATGAAGAATATATCCCAGCGGGTTGATTATCTGCCACGTCGGCATAAAAACCTGCTGTTCACCAGCTGGAAGTGCTCTTTATCCTCTCCCATCCCACAAGTCTGACCCGAGACTGAAGTTAAGTTATATTAGGCATTGGAACTAAAACAGTGTACTGTAGGTATTTAAGTTAATTGCAGGCCAAGATTATCCTGTTGATGTGTATGCAAGGTTGTCACTTACAAACTACTTTCTTGTGCTTTAGTGATGTTGTAGTGAGGCTATGAATTCCCTTCACTCTGTGAAAGCTGTGCAAGGATTGATGTTTCAAAATGACTTTACAGATTACCTTTTAAATGAATACACAATGCTCTGTTTCCCCCCCGCAGGGTTAACTGAGCCAACCAACCAACATCGCAGAGGAAGATTATTGAATGACCGATTTGTGGGCTATGTTCTATTCAACACTCACCGTTCTTTCTTTTTTTCCCTCTCTTCTCTTTCAGGAACCTATAAAGTCCAGGGCACCACAGCTCCATTTGGAGTATAGATTTTACAAACAGTTGGGGAATTCAGGTAAGAGAGATGCAGTGTGTACTTTATTAGTCTCTGACAGACGACACCATAATGAGTTAAATGTGAATGCAGGAAGAGGAAACTCGCAGACAATTATGTGCAGCTGGATAAACACTTTTGTGTTTGAGATATTAAAGAAGGCAATGTCATTATCATTATTGTTATTTAGTTAAATTAGCTAGCAATGGGACAAAGATTGAATTATAATGTTCACACTCTGATTTGGAGTTTGCTAAATATGTTGGTTTTACTCAGCAGAGTGGATTCTTTTGTATAGATTTTTGGATTTAGCTTGTGTGAGACATTTAGTTTACATCAAGGATTTCATTTTTTGCTGAAATGCATCAAATGTGATCATATCTTACTATTCTGCCTTGTTTTTTGGAAAACATGGACTTTAGTGCATACTTAATTTAACCTTTAAATGTCAGGTCGGAAATTTAGTTTTTGTTCAATCATGTTTTCATTTTGGAGTAGTGCAAATATAATTTACCTTCCTCTGTAGTCATCCAATTACCATAGATTGTGTTCAATTAGGAAACGGCTTAGTTTTCCTTTGCGCCGCAATGTGAGACCTCTGTCTTCAGATTCAGCATCTATTCAGGAAAAGAACGTGATGCATTTTCATATGTGGATATGTACCATTGGAGGAAACGGATGCATGAAATCAACTTCCAACAGCTTCCATTCTACTTTGGGCTAAATTTCACAGGATGTGTCTCCTCACATCTGTGGGAGCCAATGGATGCTACGAAAGCCTGCTTCCTTGTTTCTAATCCCACCTCTACAGCACCCAGACACTTTCCTCTCCTCCAGCACTGCTCAGAACACGTTAGTGTGCTATGATGCATAGCTGAGGCTCCAGGGCAGCAGCTCTTCTGATCTGGTCTGGCTGGTCAGATAGTGACAGAGAGTGAGAGAGGAGGCGGAGTCAGATGGTTGGGAGGGTTCGGGGCTTGGTTTTCTTTCACAGCACTGCTGGCTGGCTGTTTTTCTGGAAAGTCTCACCGTGTTTCTGTAAGTTTGTTGGTGCAAGTGTCGATTTTGTTGACTCTCAACTCTTTAATTCAGACTAAAAATGCAAACCTGTCCCCACTGCTTAGTCAAACTGATGAGAGGAAAAGGTAGTTTAGGTCTGTGCAATCTCCCATTCTGCAACCAGCCGCACCTTCATGTCCCATCAGTTCTTTTTTAGTCTCTTCTCCCAGACAGAGTCCTTTTTAATTGAGTAAATGCAGGACAGGTACCAAGTTCCAATTGACATTTTATTACACAATTTAGCCTAAAGAAAGCCAAGTTAGTCTATTAAAAGGTAACTACAGCCTCAAATTCTGCTAGAACCTCTCTCGCATTATATTTTTTAAATGCAATAAAGAAGTGAGGAGCAATGACTGTAGGAGGTACAGAGGGATTAGGAGACAGACGGGGAGACTGACTGACCACTGCTCAGTGTAGCATGGACAGAGATGCAGAGCCGGTAGTCAGAGCTAACCAGCCATGAGAAGCTACTGTCAGACTCTCGACAGTCACTAGAAGCACATCTATGCTCCTTTTGAGAGTGTTGTAGCTGGGCAAGAGGCTCTACCATGAGTGAGAGTCAATAGCTGTAGCCATACTGTTTCTTGTGGTTAATGTCACTGTTGGTAGGACCTAAATACTTTTTACGCTCCTAATGTAGCACAATTGCTGGTGGGCTCATTTGTTGTGTTCACTGCCACTGCAGAAGAACAAATCTCATTCATGTACAACTTAATTTTTTGCTCCAGGCTTGCTAATGCTAGCGCAACCAGCAGCTACAGTGGGGAAAAAAAATATTTAGTCAGCCACCAATTGTGCAAGTTCTCCCACTTAAAAAGATGAGAGATGCCTGTAATTTTCATCATAGGTACACTTCAACTATGAGAGACAGAATGGGGGGAAAGAATCCAGGAAATCACATTGTAGGATTTTTAATGAATTAATTGGTAAATTCCTCGGTAAAATAAGTATTTGGTCACCTACAAACAAGCAAGATTTCTGGCTCTCACAGACCTGTAACTTCTTCTTTAAGAGGCTCCTCTATCCACTCGTTACCTGTATTAATGGCACCTGTTTGAACTCGTTATCAGTATAAAAGACACCTGTCCACAACCTCAAACAGTCACACTCCAAACTCCACTATGGCCAAGACCAAAGAGCTGTCAAAGGACACCAGAAACAAAATTGTAGACCTGCACCAGGCTGGGAAGACTGGATCTGCAATAGGTAAGCAGCTTGGTGTGAAGAAATCAACTGTGGGTGCAATTATTAGAAAATGGAAGACATACAAGACCACTGATAGTCTCCCTCGATCTGGGGCTCCACGCAAGATCTCACCCCGTGGGGTCAAAATGATCACAAGAACGGTGAACAAAAATCCCAGAACCACACGGGGGGACCTAGTGAATGACCTGCAGAGAGCTGGGACCAAAGTAACAAAGGCTACCATCAGTAACACACTACGCCGCCAGGGACTCAAATCCTGCAGTTCCAGACGTGTCCCCCTGCTTAAGCCAGTACATGTCCAGGCCCGTCTGAAGTTTGCTAGAGAGCATTTGGATGATCCAGAAGAGGATTGGGAGAATGTCATATGGTCAGATGAAACCAAAATAGAACTTTTTGGTAAAAACTCAACTCGTCGTGTTTGGAGGAGAAAGAATGCTGAGTTGCATCCAAAGAACACCATACCTACTGTGAAGCATGGGGGTGGAAACATCATGCTTTGGGGCTGTTTTTCTGCAAGGGGACCAGGACGACTGATCCGTGTAAAGGAAAGAATGAATGGGGCCATGTATCGTGAGATTTTGAGTGGAAACCTCCTTCCATCAGCAAGGGCATTGAAGATGAAACGTGGCTGGGTCTTTCAGCATGACAATGATCCCAAACACACCGCCCGGGCAACGAAGGAGTGGCTTCATAAGAAGCATTTCAAGGTCCTGAAGTGGCCTAGCCAGTCTCCAGATCTCAACCCCATAGAAAATCTGTGGAGGGAGTTGAAAGTCCGTGTTGCCCAGCGACAGCCCCAAAACATCACTGCTCTAGAGGAGATCTGCATGGAGGAATGGACCAAAATACCAGCAACAGTGTGTGAAAAGCTTGTGAAGACTTACAGAAAACGTTTGACCTCTGTCATTGCCAACAAAGGGTATATAACAAAGTATTGAGATGAACTTTTGTTATTGACCAAATACTTATTTTCCACCATAATTTGCAAATAAATTCTTTAAAAATCAGACAATGTGATTTTCTGGATTTTTTTATTTATTTATTTTTCTCATTTTGTCTCTCATAGTTGAAATATACCTATGATGAAAATTACAGGCCTCTCATCTTTTCAAGTGGGAGAACTTGGACAATTGGTGGCTGACTAAATACTTTTTTTCCCCACGTATGTGTGAGAGGGACTATGGTTAGCCAATGTTCTGCTTTATATACGTGGTGCGTCAACTGCTAAAACAGTCGGGAGGGAGGGGGTCAACGTACATAGTAGACAGAGTCTTTCCTCTTTCGTCATGATTAGGAGGAGCCAGACAATTCAGCTGAACCAAACTTTAAAATCCAGGCTGACGCATACAAGCTAATGGCTAGTGGTATTTGTCTGATAATAGCATAGGATTCCTCTGGTCCCGGCTCGTTGTCTCTCTCTGCCTTTGGTTGTTTACTCTGGCACATTAAACACATCTTGACCTTCCCTTCTGCCATTGAGACCACTGCTGGCCTTCAGCCTTCCTCTTATTGTATGAAGTCTGGGGTTGTGCAACATGAAAACAATATTCCTAGCCCTGACACGCGACAGTAGAACAGGCCGGTAGGATGCCATCTAAGTGTTTCCAAATGCCCACTGATCATTATTACACTATTGCTTCACACAATTGTACACTGCAAGCAGTAACCTTCATGAGTAAAATGCCAATACTTTATCAATACCTGTTCAACAAGCATCAATCCTGTAGAAAAGCAATATTTCCATGTGCTCTGTCAGCAGTCTGTCATCCACGCCTCTGTTTTACACAAACACTTGAATTGTGACAAACAAAAGCTCTCTGTACTAGGGTCAATCGACTAATTGGTGCAGATAGGGTTTTTGAAATGGTGTAGTTGCCAATGGCTGCTCAGCCATCACAAGTCATGCAGTCGTACATCACCGTTTTATATAGGGGAGGGGGTGGGGGAATAGATTCTTGGATGCATTGCGATTCTCTCATTAACGATTTTGACTCGATGCAGAAAACTCAATCATCGGAAATTTCAAACTCTGTTCTCAAATTTGTGATCGCGTGTCACAATTCTGTGACACCGGGCTGTCCGTTCCTAACCGCTGCCCCTGAACGCAACAGATGATGCATCAAGAAGAATTGCTAATCCTTTTATAATCTTATCGTAGCCCTGTGAATCGGCATTGAATCTTGAGGAGCCTAGAGATTCCCCCCACTCGTTTTATATAGAGGCTCCATACACATAATGACGTCCAATTTTGCTCAAAGTATCTGTGTGCATGTGATTAACTAAGGATTGAATACGGGGTGACAAAAAAATGGTTTATTAAAAACGGTGTATGTAAAAGTAGCCGACAGAAGTAAAACTCCAGCTGATGTGGCGGTGAGATGAACTTTCACTTCTCTCCTAAATACGAGGGCTCTCACCTTTTTATGGTTAGTTGATCTTCTGTTCCAGATTCATCAATCACTTGGTTTTTGATGTTCAGTGATCCAGATTTACTTATTTAGTTATTTCTTATAATTATTACTACTTGTTCAGTTCAACAGTTATCCAGTTTGTACATTCGGTAATAGAGTATATTGTTCATTCAGATTGATTGTTTATTGGGGTTTCTTTCACAGGGGAAGGATAGCGGCCGATTAATCGACTATTGACTATTCGTGCTCCAAACTATCGTTATCACATCAGCCTTTAAAATTCCACCATTGGTTGACCTCTAGGCTAACTGTTGAGCTTAGTTTGACACGACATTGTTTTCACAGATTTTCCTGATATTGTGCTGGCCATCAATTATTTTCTTGACAAAGGCAAAAATCACCTCAAGCAAGCATAATTTCTTTTTTTTGCAATTGAGGAAGCACTTTAAATATAAAAAATACAATGCAGACTAGTAATATATTTATCCTCTGTTAAGGTTAGACATTGTCAATTGTTTGACATAGAGACACTTTCAGTAGTTTAACTCTTAAAATGCATCTATAGTTTGACCACAGAGCAGAGAGGTCCTGTCTCCAGCTGATGACTGGCTACTCCACCATGATATGACAGAAAGGCTCACTTGACTGTTAAGCGTGGGAGGAGTCGAGGCGATAGATTAAATCTACTTATGTTGTCAACGATGCTAAATGTGGACACGTGACCCTGTTAGTCCTGCTCAAACCAAGAGCCTCAAATATGTCACAGCATGGACGACTCAGTACTTAACGCCCAGGAGGAGCTTATCTGCACACGGTTAATTCTCTTAAGATCACACCAGTTGGGAGTTGTGCCTCTCAGTTCACATATTTTTGTGAAAATTGGAAAAAAAAGACGTGGCGTATCAGTCGCTCTTGGCAGTAATGGCGGTCTTGTATTGGTGAGGAGTTTGTGGCTTCAGTCACTTTACCTCTGCTGTCAGGTGACTGGCTGCAGAGAGGTTGTGCAGTGTTTATGGAACCAACTATCATTTAACAGTATTTCACTGGTCGATTTAGCTCATGCAGTCCTAGATACATGATTGTATGGATGTTACTATAATTAGTACCACATATAGGGAGGTTTCCTCTGGAACAATTTATCTGTGATAGTTATCCTCATTCCTGTGAATATTCATGGGCCCCAGCATGGCTGTTGAGGGCATGATATGCTGTGACAGCCGCCGCTCTGCTCTCATACGGCGTTTACAGCCGACAAGGCCGTCCAGACCGACAGTGTCGTCACTGAAGCGTAGCGGCCACCCTCCGGTTCCCCCTCAAGTAAACGGTTTGCTCTGTCGGCATGTTTGCCGTAGTTTGTGCTGTTAGCTCCATTAGCTACGAGCTGCTGACTCAGGCGTTGAGAGGCAATCAAAATGCCCCCAATCTTGTATTATGCACCGTTAAACATTTTGCCATGATTAATAAAAAGTAGCATGCTGTAAATTCTCGTATTATTTGACACAATTTCCACAAATTGTATTACTTAATGATTGACTTTCCCCACTAGTTATTCAGCCCTTTGGCATTTTGCTGGCTTGTTGTGCTTATGAGTTATGTTGTGTTTGTAGCTCCAGGCTCAGATTTCAGTCTCGTGAGGACATCTCCAGAACATTGGGCCTAATGGAAATGTCTTCTTCTTCTCTCACTGCACTCTACACCAAAATCTGAATCCCTATCCTCCCTCCTCCCTCCTCCAGCCCTCTCCTCTTTGGCCAATAACTCTGACATTTCACTGTAGGGCAACATTGTCTTCAGCTGACATAATGCAGCCTTCTCTCTCGCTGTGTCGCCTCAGAAGGTCTGTCTGTAGATACAATGGGTTGGATTGTCTCAAATTGTCGAGACAGCGGGGTTCAGAGTACCGTTGAACTGGGCTTGTAATGAAAGCCAGACCATGTCCCGTAAAGCTGAACACAGTTGGATGTATTTCTTGATATGACTTTACATAATAGAATTACACAACGTGTATCATCACAGAACTGATTCAGTTTGCTTATTGTGTATAACTGAGAGAAGCCAACTGCTGAAATGGTTTGTTTGGCTTTAAGCTATTGAAGAGAAGAAAAAATAAGACTGTTTCCTGATTATGGTTGGCACGGACACTTTATCATTCTGTTGCTTTTGAAGTGCTCACGGTTTCCTGTTAAAGACAAGTTGTTGCACTGGAGAGTAATTTCACTGTTTTCTTTTGTTATGGTTGAGTTAGTGTCAGCCATCACATTTCACATAGTCTCACGTATCCTACTTTGCACAGCTGCTGTTGGCCAGTTATATCACAGTATACATTCAAGTTTAGACAGAAATCACCCCCAAAAATGTGCTTTGGCCATTTCCCACCCGCCATTTCAAGATTAGTGCTTGAAACTGCTGTATAACCCCAATCTTTGCTCGCATCCACCAGCAGTAGATAAAAATACACTGTGTGCTTTTCCTCTTGTGATGACTGTGTTTTGAATGCCCTCTAGATTTGGGCCAAGCTTTGATGAGTCAGCCCTTCCAGCGACCTCTTGTCACTGCCTCATCTGTCATTGGCTTCATTACCTGGAAAATCCTAGAGACTAAAGGGCAGACAGGTGTGCGTGTGAGAATATGCGTGTCGGTTTACTTCCGTGTATGCGCAGTATGTCTTGTTGCCCTGATGTAAACTCTCTGTCCGCTGGCTCTCTACTGACGCACAATCCAAACTGAATACTTTCCATTCTTAACTCTCATTTTATCTGTGTCACACATACATTTTTCTTGCAGACAAGTACGGTACAAATGTGCCTGCCCATTCTCTCAATGCCGTTCCCATTTTTTGACTCTTTTTATCTGCCTGTGTGCTGTTGGAGCAGCACCGATGTGGTGTCTCATGGTTACTGATCTTTCAGGGAGAAGGCTGGCATGTAGATACGGGGCATTTGGCACCACAGTGTGGTTCAAAGGTTTTTCGATGGCTTCCTGGTGACAGAATCAACTCGACAAGGACTAACTTGATAGCGAGGACTGTGAACCTGGAGAGTGGTGGTTTTGATCTTGGGAGAAGTGGTACGATGGATTAGGAGTCGATGGATTATCACGCAAAAATGTCCATGAGTTATAGAATGCCTCTGAAGTGTTCCAGATAAATGAGTCTGTTGTTTGTCTGTACGTAGCGTTGCGTATCTTTTTTCCAGTGAACGGTTGCATATTATCGAAGGGTTCTTGTGAAATACGATGCTGGTTCCTCACAGGCCTCAGCAGTTCACTTTGTTTTGACTAAGCTGCAGAGTCTGTAGCAGGCCATGGTGAATCTGCTTGCTTTTGTTGCACCTAATTATTAATAAATTGGAAATTTGCTGGTGTTTTTCGATAAATATATATTTTTGCACAATTAGAAAGTAGTATTGTTCCAACAAAAGGACATACTGTAGTGTTTTCACACTGTCAAAACACTGATGTGTTTATCCATTTTGCCACTTCAGTATTCCAGTAAAACATTGCAGTGTTGTATACTCAACTTAGTTGTTAAAATGAAACATATTACATACCAGTGCAGTTGCATAAACCTCTGCACCTTTATCTCTGAATGGTTGAATGGTTTCTGTTTTTTTTTTTTTCCACATCAAAAAAAATAAAATCTTGTCAGGGAAGAACAATAAAAGCGTCCATTAAAGAGAACACGTTATTCTGTAAGACATAGCAACAATTGTATTGTGATCATTCAATTAATAGACCTATATTTTACATGAGTTCACTAACTGTCTTTGTGTCTCCACAGAGGGAATCCCTCAAGTGTACTATTTTGGTCCGTGCGGGAAATACAATGCCATGGTGCTGGAGCTGCTCGGGCCCAGTCTAGAGGACCTGTTTGACCTCTGTGACCGCACCTTCTCCCTCAAGACCGTCCTCATGATAGCCATACAGCTGGTAAGGGGGGGGCAGCAGGTGTAGGCTCAATTAGATGAGTTAGCGGAACAATAAAGTGCAACCTAGACTACATTACAAACGTATAGTGGAGGGAATGCTAAGATGCTCAATGCAAAGTATTGTGACATTGTTTACACTGCCGTAGTTGTGATTTAACATTTGAAATATTTTCAACTGAAGCTGACAGTAATCATGTAATAAAACTAGGATATTTACTGAAAGCTTCTGTCTTCAGTGTATCCATCGTGTGCTCACTGCTCGGAATATTTCATGTTCAAAAACTGTCAGGATAATTGAGCGATTTTACTTTTTTAGTGACTACTATTGACCTGTTTTTTGCTCGTCTAGATAACACGGATGGAGTATGTCCACACCAAGAGTCTGATATACAGAGACGTGAAGCCAGAAAACTTCCTGGTTGGGCGGCCGGGAAGCAAGAGGCAGCACACCATCCACATCATTGACTTTGGTCTGGCCAAAGAGTACATCGACCCCGAGACCAAAAAACACATCCCCTACCGGGAGCACAAGAGTCTGACTGGGACGGCACGCTACATGAGCATCAACACACACTTGGGAAAGGGTAAGAACGTCTCTGGAGCAGGGCTGTGGTTTGATAAGCCCTTCAGATTTGAGTTTTTGCCCCAAGTTAAGTTTAATGGTTTAATCCTAACTGTATTATTAAAATACATCACCAACACGTAGACAGCATTTTAAACAATTATCTTATACAGTTATTTGTATTTCTCAAGAGGTAACTTCATTTGAATCTTCTTGTGTCTCTTTCAGAGCAAAGCAGAAGGGATGATTTGGAGGCACTGGGTCACATGTTCATGTACTTCCTCCGAGGTAGCCTCCCCTGGCAGGGCCTAAAGGTACTGTAGCGTGTTGTTTGACATCATCCAAATGTTGCCACATACTGATTTATATCAGACTAATGTAATCCTCTTCATGCGTAGCATAGAGATGTACCTTTTGCTGCTGCACTTGTCAATACAGTATCTCTTTTATACCTATCGTCCACATGACATTCGGAACAGAGAGCCTGTTGTTAACAACATCATGCTCTCACACTGGTGACATTTCAAGGTCTCCCCACTGATGCCTCTGTATTGTTTGCTAAACCTAAAAGACCCTCTGTGTCACTCGGACACAGAAACTATTGAGACCTCTGTGATTGTTTCATTTGCTGTTGCTTAACACAAACTTGATATCAGTTGTGGTGGAATAATGCACAATGATAAGGTATAAATGACAGGGCAGAGGCAACATGAAGCAAAGTGGTGTTCCCTGTGCCAAGTCTGTTATTCTTTGATTAAACACCTGACATGAGGGGGATTGTTAGTCCTACTTGCACCATAACCACTTGCCAACAAATTCCCGTATGTCATCAAATCCATATATTTGCAGCATTTTTTTATTTTTTAATCTCACTTGTTTGTTTATGAAAGATCATGAAATATAGTTTCCAACCTTAGAGCTCATACTGCTTGTGTAAGAACAGCACCAATCACCCCAAACCCACACACCAGAATTTCTACTCTTCCAAATTGGGTTTATATCACAAATCTACAGTAAAGAGAAATTTGACTGAATATCTGCTCTGACATCCTAAATAATAGCTGATATTCTCCTCCTATTGATAAAGTAACTCGTCGTTATTTTTTATTATCAATTGGGCCGCGCAGGTTTCACCATAAGTGCTCACAATCAAATCTATACAGCATGTGACCAAACAAACAAAGACTCCTCCACACTTGCTTTGCATTTGAACAGTTCACTGATGAAGAATTTAAAGCATTGAGAAACCAATGCTTGCTAACGGGTGCACGGAGGGCAGGTTATAGCTGCAGAGTTTCTGGTCTTTGTGCAGGCGTCAAAATCAAAGGTGTACATAGAAAAGGCTACAAGACACAACACCTCATCTGAACATTTGCTATGTGGGAGGAAGCTTGTGGTCGATGAATGTGAGGGATGTATAAATGTGGGGGATGTTGGGTGGCTCGGGCCAAAACAAGTTCTCACAACACACGGTATAAAGTGGGTCTTTTAATGTTCATACATTGACACTGTGACACCCATGTATACCATAATATTGTAGCGGACAAGAATGATCCTATCATGGGAATCATGTGTCCCACAAGGAGACTTTATGCAAGAGTCATCCGGGGAGTCATCCAGTGGACATCAACAACATTATTATTAACTTGTCACAAGTACCTTTATTCCATAATCTGCTTTAAGATCATTTTCACCAACAACATCCCTCAGCGCTGTACATATCTGTGTTATGATTCAACGATTCAGAATGACTAACCAGAGGATTTGCATTTGTCTGCAGCTCAATTGCCCAATACATATTACATTTGCATTTTACAGCTATTCATCTACACTTGCCGCAGCAAAGTATTTGCTCCAATTTTCAGTGCAATATGTATTTTGTCCTGTCTCCTTTCTAGGCAGATACTTTGAAGGAGAGGTATCAGAAAATTGGAGACACCAAACGAGCGACACCCATTGAAGTGCTTTGTGAAAGCTTCCCCGGTCAGTAGAACCAACCGCTGCCCTTTTGTTTACTGTGTTGTTTAATTTCTTCCAGATGTCAAATGAAACGATATGTTGCCTTTTGCTACAGAAGAGATGGCCACCTATCTGCGCTATGTGAGGAGGCTGGACTTCTTTGAGAAGCCTGATTATGATTACTTGAGGAAGCTCTTCACTGATCTGTTCGACAGGAATGGCTACGTCTTTGACTATGAATACGACTGGGTCGGCAAATCACTTGTGAGTGCCTCTTACCCGATCCACTAAAATCCTGTGATTGAACCGTCTAGTCTCACGACTGCAGTTGCTTTTTATATAAATCATTTTTGCTTAAGGTTGCTCACATTATGGGTGCTGAATATTTTAGTTTTTCCTCTCAATTCACCACTAAAGTTTTACTCTTTATCGCCTTTTAAATTGTCCTGATTTTGACCCTGTGCTTGTTGTGTTGTTACCTGCAGCCCACACCGATAGGCCCCATCCCCAGTGACACGCCGCTGCCGCCCAGCAGCAGAGACAAAGCACAACAGCAGACCAAAAACCAGGTGAGGTCATCAGCAGTAAAACACGACAACACAAACCACACCCACCCACCAATCAACCAACTGACCTACCGACCGACCAACCAAGCCTGTCATTCAAGTTCTGCTGCCAGGCTTCTATTGTTGTGTGCACAAGTAATCAACTTCCTGGAACAAAAATGGCTTCTATTCAGTCCCACTTCTACATTATACCCGTACTGTCTTCAGTTTGACTGCCTGGCAGCAACATCATATGTCCTCAAGCTCTCCGTCAGACTATAAGACTTAAACGAACCAACATGCACCATCATGAGGCACTGCTGTAAAATAAAGCACCTTCTTCCCCTTCAGTTTATTCTTCACGCCTTGCCACCCTAAGCTCCAGTCATTGCATGCATGAGTTGAAAATGCAAATTGCATTGTTCATACCAGTAATGACGTGCTTGGTGTATGACAAAGTGTTGACTTGGAATTTATTTTTTTATTTTTTTGGCATGCTGTCCGAGCCTTGTTTTCTTTGTTTGTTGAGTAGAGAGGTAATGATTCAAGAGTTTAAGTAGAAAGTGATTACGAAAACCTTCCGATGGAGTCAAATCATGGTAACAATCATGTTGTTTTACTTGACGAGTCTGACTCAATGTTTCTCGTAAAACCAGACGGGGAGTGAATTAGATTTTATGATTGACTTATTACAGTGGACTCTAACCTCTTTTTATTATTCTTCGTCTAACGTGATTGGCTTGGCAACAACTTGCCACCTTTTTAAAGCTGGCAAAGCACCACCTCCAGTTTCTGTACTGTACAAACCTGTAACATCCTGGTTAAAACAGTCCGCTGCATCAAAAGAAGTTAGGTCTGCAAAGGAAAGCCCAATGTTTTTAAAAAAAGTACTCTAAACTAGCTTCTAGATGAAGTTTAAGTATAAACAATAAAATAGACAATTGACCGTTATTGTGAATAAACAGTTTGAGTTGAGGTGATCAAGGCTGTTTTCTTTTACTCCTGCATGACTTTATTAGTGTGTTGATCTGTGCTTCGCATTCAATTTTTGCTTCCCTCTACTCCTCTATTAACATAGTTTTGTCTTAACAAGCTTGCTTCTGCTTGGGAGACGTCTTCTATAATTTTTTTTGTATTTGTTTTCATTCACTCCCCCTCCTCCTTGTCCCTCCACACCTCTGCCCTCACCCCCTCCCACCACATCCCCTCACCTCGACCCCCTCACCCCCTTCCCTTTCCCCACTTCACGACCACCTGCCTCAACCCTTTTTGCTCTTTGCGTCAAGTCGCCTGAGCCCAAAGGAAGTGAGTCTCAGCCCACTCCAGTGACCAATAAGGAGACTCTGGGGTCGCACCTCACAGCTGAGCGGCTGGGGGGCTCTGTTCAGGTACTGCTGCTGCTGCTGCTGCTGCTGCTGCTGCTGCTGCTCTGGTGGTTAATGCATGAAGCCACATGGTTCTGTGTGTCTGACCCCCTCTCACACTGCCTGTGTGTTTGTCTGTCTGGTGCTCCGTCTTTAATCTCTCTCTTTCTGTGTGTGTGTCTGCATCACTGTTTGAATCCCAGTGTGCCAGTGCTTTGACTGTTCTGCTGGCTCTCACTGCTTCTTTCGCCTCATTGGCTGTATATGCAGCTCACAGGAAGGGCCACGCAACATGACATCCAACAGCAACTGTCATGCACACCTCGTGAAATACAGATTCTTAAATCAACTGAAAAACACATGAACTAATAGATGGATGGACAGAAGAAATCAGAGGCTTCTGTAGTAAATGTGGCCTAAATATGCCACCTAGTGTTGGCTAATACAATTGCAGCATTTAAAGGCTGGGTTCACATTTCTGCAAGTCTGTCTTAAAACAGTATTTGCATGCACATCAGCACATTTGTATTTGCCGTTACTCTTCCTGTTCTAATACGCTAATGCTAGACGAGATGGAAGGAAAAGATTTATATTCCTCGATATGCTGAAATGTCTTCCAAAGTTGATCTGAAGCTAATGTGATGCTTCAGCAGTCTGATTTTGATTTTGTTCGATCAAGTTTGTCTTTTTAGTATGAAATCCATTCTTTATGTTTCTGTAGGCACAGTTTCTCTTCTAAGGAGGGATAGCAACACAGAGGGAATTTTGTACTTAAAATACTGTAACTAAAGTCGTAGTGAACTCAAACCTCATTTTTAAATGTGAATCAATCCTTTAAAACGTCTGAAGTTGCTTTAGTCTGAACTACTCTCCCTGTCTGAGAGGGCAGATAAATAGAGATAATTATTTTTATATTAATTTTCATCTCCACCCTGCAGTCAGCAGCTCAACGTGTACGTGTTTATGATCAGTCTGGTGTCCTTTTTGTTCTCGTGCAGGTGATGAGCTCAACGAATGGCGAGCTGAACACCGACGATCCCACAGCCGGACACTCCAACGCTCCCATCACCGCTCCCGCCGAGGTTGAAGTGGCCGACGAAACCAAGTACGAAACGGCTGTCCAGATGCATAAAAGACAGTGCTGCTCGCAGTTGGGGTTTAATAGCATTTTAATCGGTCCTCATCCAGTGTTGAATTGGAAGTAAAGTCATTTCTTAATACAGCCCAATATCACAAAAAATTCAAGGGAAATGGAAGCAAATCCAAATTATCTCCAATTCCCAACTGAATGTCTTTTGGTTTAGCTATTGCTTTTTGCAAGTACAATTTGGGGGGATTTGTTACCCTGACCTTATGCAGGTTACTTTCACATCTCTATCATCTCTCCTTTGTAGTCTTTGTCAGACACATGCATACTTGTAACAAGCACAATAGAAACCCGGTTACCTGTATACGAGGCCAAGAATCTGCTTCCTCCAGGAGGAATCTCACTGGAGGGAGGAATCACGTTTTGCTAATCCGCTAACTCAACTACAAAAACTCCCAAGTAATCTGGAGAAGGCCAACTGTGTGCATTTAAACACACTAAATGTTTTCTACAGCGCTCTTTGCTAATCATTTGAAGTTTGATTGGAGCAACCTGATCTAGAATTGATCAATCAATTGAACACCAAACCTAACGAGCAGTCTGCTGTATTGATATATCTCGTTTGTATAGATGCGTCTCCAAATGTATTGTTTTCCTAAATCGGAATGTTCCTTTGTTTTCCTGCAGGTGCTGTTGTTTCTTCAAAAGGAGAAAGAGGAAAGCCCTCCAGAGGCACAAGTGATAGAAGAGAATGGAGAGAACTTGAAACATTGTGGTCACTGTGGTCACACAGACCCACTGTCCCTTATCTCTTTCCAGTTCCCCCCTCACCTCTTTATCCCTCTCACCTTATTCCCGCTGTCACTCTGTACCTCGTGCTCTCTCTTTCTCGTTCTCAGTGCTCCCCGGCTACTGGCGAGTTAAAGGAATGTTGCAGTTCTACTGACTCCACAACAGACTCTTGATTCCTTTATCGACGACAAATAAACGTATCTGCATTACAACGTGGGGGCTTGAGGAAAAAGTAAAAAAGCTGTAACAATGAAACTCGAATACCGTGGCGTGAATATGAGAAAATATACTGTTTGAAACAGCTATGTATTCTAGATTCCACAAGAAGGTGTGTTGTTCCAGCAGTCGGCTGTTGATCAGGGTGAACCGTTCGAGTGGTTCAAGTGAAAGAAATCTGCTCCGTAGGATTTTTTTTTTTTCGTTTCTTCCTTTGGTGTGTGTTTTGGGATCAAGGTAAAGAGGAAAAGGTGAACTATGCTGATGTTAAATTTGAGTGACACAGAAAGCATTTCATCTATAAAACAGAATTTGGAGGACTTTTATGTTTTTTGGGTTTTTTTTCGTTCTTTTTTTTTTTTGTAATTGAATCATCAGTTTTCAAAATCAAAGCCCTGCATTGAAGATGTATTTTTATGTTTTAGTGTTCTGGAGTTCTTTTCCTCACTCAAGCTTTCTTTTTGTCTGTCGATGTGGACTTTGTAGCACAGTCACTGGCCTCAGGTACTGTGGACGATTGAGAGAAACGGATATTAAGCTCTCTTATTATTATTGCACTTTTGGAAAAAAGAGAAAACAATTACAGTGGAAAACTTAAGGTTTGAAATTAACAATTAAGAAAACAGCTTAATAAAGACTGATCTAGGAAGAGTCCTTCACACCGCTTATATCTGAGTTATGGCTGAAAAATGTTGTTGATTTACATGAAGGAAAAAAAGAGAGATATGTCTTTCAATTTTTACTTCTCGCATCAAAAATAATTTACCAGGAAATCATAGTTTGTGCCTTTCTAAGTAAAAGTTTTAAAGCTCAAGTGGGTGTCCCGCAATGACATTTTATCTAATCTGTCCCAAATACTCACTGGATTAGTGTGTGCGTGTGTGTGTGTGTGTGTGCGTGTGCGTGTGCATGTGCGCGTGTGTGCGTGTGTGTGTGTGTGTGTGTGCGTGTGTGTGTGTGTGTGCGTGTGCATGTGCATGTGCGCGTGTGTGTGTGTGTGTGTGTGTGTGTGTGCGTGTGTGTGTGTGTGTGTGCGCGTGCGTGTACGTGTGCGTGTACGTGTGCGCACACACACAAATGTGGAGGTTTTTGTAAGTGAATGTTTAATGAATGTGTGCACAGCACTTGTTCTCACATACAAGCAGTATACATCCCTTCATCTGCTGTGACAATCGACACGCATGTACTGTGGTGTTGATTGGTTTGGTGTGTGTGTGTGGGGGTGGGTGGTCTCACAGGCAACCCACATCTGTCTGAACCATTGTTTTGTTTTGTCAGGAGGTCACAGACAGACGGGTTGACTTCATGTCTATGACGTTAATGGACTGCTGTTTCTGAAAACAAAGGAGCCTTCCAAAAAATCAAAATGTACTGAACTGGAAAAACCAATTGCCCATATTTGAGTTCCTTGCTGCTGCTTACAACATAGTTTCATGTAGGGCTGCAACTAATGATTCTTTTCATTATGAATTAATCTGCTGACTATTTTCTTTATTAATCATTTGGACTTCAAAATATAGTTTATATAAATCCCATAATATTATCCTTGGCCCCACATAATCAAATATCTTGTTTTCTACAACTAACATTTCAAAACACTAAAATATTAAATTAACTACAATGTAAGACTAAGAAAAGTAGAGAATTTTCACGTTCACAGGCCTGGAACCATCAGTGTTTGGCATTTTTTTGCTTAAAAAACGAGACCTGATTAAACGAATAGTTGCTGATTAATTTCCTTTTGATTGACTATAATCGTTGCAGCTCTAGTTTCATTTGTCTCTTTGATTGTTTTTTTTATGTGTTCTTTGTTTCCTGGCCAAGATGAAAGATGTATGTCTGGCTTGGAGCTCTGGCTGTGTTCAGGGTTGTTTAAATTACCCTTCATGTTTCAAGCTCATCAGAGATTGCAACTTGTATGGCCTTCAGTTAGTTAAAGGAGTACTCCATTGACTTTAATATTGCGCTTTCTTTAACTTTGCTGACTCACGGGAGGCATTAAAATAAAAAGTGGTCTAAATCGAAGCAGTAGTATTCAAGATATCCTGACTAGTGAGTCCAATTCCAAAAACCACTGGATCCTACATTTCCTCCTTGAAACCCTACCTGCCCAGTTTATAATGCAGGCCTCATGTTAAAAATTGTGCCGAGCCCAGGAGGAGGCACCCCTGATGACACCTTTATATCATATGGCTTATTATTTAAGAATACGGAAAGCTCCACCCAGAGGTGAATAGCTGAGCTTCATGTGTGAAATCTGCAGTGTCCCATTAAAAGAAAACACCGCTTGGGCTTCATTCTTAGAATCCCTTCTAGTTTAACTTTAGATCACTGACTGAGCAGTAATATCACCACTGTGTGATGAGAATGATGACCTCACAACGTGTCAAAAATGAGAAAGTGAAGTTTAGGTTGTTTTCCACGTAAATATAACAAAAGGGCAATACATATTGCAAATGTATAAATCCACACTGATGGGTTAAAACAAAAATACTTCAGAGGCCGGTTCAGATGCTATATTTCATTTCAGTGTCAATTTCAACACGATTCACCCAAACACATCTGCAATGGGGGGGACAATTGATTTAAAGTTGTGAAGGAGAGATGAATATTTGTTTGTAAAAGCACGAGTTGGAGGTTTCTTGCTTGAATCATTTATCGTGTAAAGATCAGAGGAATCAACTGTATGTGGGAATTGTAGGCCTATTGTAACTCACGAGTTTTCACAACCTCTGATTACCATCTAATAGATCCTGCACCGTAGGCGTGTACATTGCATTTCTGTGTAACTCAAGAAAACAAATGCAGTTGCGCAGAGGACGCGGTGCACCAGTGAAGTCTTCGGTGTAACACAAGTGCCGCTGATTGCTCAGAAAACCCATTCAATTATTCTCTGAAAGCTAAACCGGATCAGCTGACCCAGCTTGGCATAATCCATTACATTAGGTTTATTATACGAGTTGATAATTGAGATTTTTTTTTTTTTTTTTTTTGGAGATGCTCAGACCAAGGTTGAACTGTGTTTTTGCTCAACGTCTGTTAGTGTAACTATTTGCATTATGTATTTGTAAATATGACAACGACAGATCTCTAATTGTGAATAAAGGAAGTTTTATCACAGGAGTCGGATCAATCATGGAGCAGTTTGTGCCCACCGGACGCTCTTTACGCTCTTTATCAGTGTGCAGGCGGCTTTGTTACGCTATGTGGTTCGCCTACCTGCTGGTCTACCTCCACTCCGTGATCGGCTTTCACAGCACCGATGCCGGTGTGATGATGCTGATTGGCCAGATAGCGGACGGAGTCTTCACGCCTCTGGTGGGTTATGGATCTGACAGAACAGTGTGCGTCTACGGCAAGAGGAAAGCCTGGCACCTATTTGGTTACGTACCTGAGAAACGACTTAGAGGATTTCCATAAATATACAAAAGTAGTATATCCTAATTAAAAGTAGGGTTCCAATTAGTTCCATCACTAATTAGAACCCTAAGTAAGTAACGGAAGCAATACTGCAGTGTAAAAATACTTTGTTACTGCATCCAAAACTAGAAAAGGTGAAGCCTCTGGGCTTCCTTTATACACTTTCTCACTGAGCCAATAATAGTTTAAAAGCTGGAGAACGCAGACTGTCCTGACTTTTTTAGATTTAATACTCTCTAAACAAATAAAGGCTCAGTGTGAGTTTGCCTGAAGTAAGCCCAGAAATGTTCCCTTTTTCTACAGTTGACACCTTGCATTCTTGTATAACTAGTGATGCGTTCATGGAGCCAATTTTAGTTAGGACTACTTTACATACTGCCGAGTAACATAATCTATGGTAGCATAATTTATTAGTTAATTCAAATCTTCAAAGGAGCTAAAGCTGTCAAATAAATGTAGTGGAGTAAAACATACAATATTTGCCTCCAAAGTGTAATGGAGAAGAAGTATAAAGTAGTAAATACTCAAGTAAAGTACAACTACAGAAAAAGTAGTCTTACTTGAACAAATGTACTTAGTTACATTCCACCACTGCTTATAATGCAGAATGGCCGCTTTCAGTGTAATATATATTATTGGATTATTGTTATTGATGCAACGTGTAGCAGCATTTAATAAAGCTGGTTGAAGTCCAGCTATATTCCACTACTTTTTAAACTATATGTTCAATCTATAACAATCTTATCATGTTATTTTTTAATTATGTAAGTAGCTATCAAATAAATGTCCTGGTGTTAGGCTACTTGTTCTTCCTCTGAAATGCGGTGGAGTAGAAGTTGCATAAAATGGAAATAGCCTACTCAAGTGAAGTAGCCTATAAAACATAATGTACTCAAGTACGGTAGCTCCTTGAGTAAATGTGACTTTGGCTACTGATATTATAGCGATATAATGTGCAGAATGCTTCAGTGACCTAATGGGCAATGCAAAGTCCAAGATAGACCACCATAATATTAATAGGCTTATTTTGTTTAGGCTATATGGTACCTCTCTAAACAGAGCAGGTGTTGAATAATATTCTATTCTAGATATTAGAATAATTCCCCCTCTGCTTTCAGGAACCGTTTGTGTTGTCGTGTCTTTCCCCTTCCTTTTCAACCGCTGCCTGGCCTGTAACGACAACGCTCCTCCGCAGGCTCAGATGCTTTACTACACCCCCTTTGTCCTCATCTTCCAGCTCGGCTGGGCAGCCACTCAGATCTCACACCTCTCCCTCATCCCAGAGCTCGTGTCCAGCGAGAGCGACAAGGTGGAGCTCACTGCGTACAGGTGAGGTGACATCTTCAAGGCCTCAGTTACAGGAACACATTTCCTATTCTGTCCTCTCAATCACAGAGGAAGCAAAGCTGATCAGTTCACTTACAGTGGAAGATAGTTCAACTTGCTATTAAGCCTATAATATTCTTAGCAAAACAATTCCTGGTGCTTATACACAGGGGTTTTTGAGAACAGCAGTGAAAGTTGCAGTTTCACTGCTAGGTGAGAATTTGGCCTCGGGGAGCAACAGGAGTAAATAGTCATAATCTGGGGTAGTTAATTGTCAGTCAAATTACCCGTTGTTGAAGTCATCATGTTTTTACAGCTTTCAGACTAGAATATTTGACTTTGTCTGAATACGAAAACATGAAGCATGGGGTCAGTTCTTCCATTGGTTTCCTTCTCTTCATCCATCCAGCTTCCTTCCTAGTCTCTCCCGTTTCCTCCGCACAATCCTTGCCTCACTCCCATATTTGAAAAGTTGTCACAGCTTCCTCTAATGCTCTGTCAGAACTAGACTCAGTTTAATGCCACGGCCTATTATTAAGGCAGTGGAAGTGAAACAATGAGGCAGAAATAGCAGCCAAATTCCTCGTGAAAAGGAAAGAGAAGTAACTCCTTTCATCATGTCATCCAGAGCCGCGCAAATATTAAAGCAAAAACAAGATGCCTCCGTGTCTTCTGTTATTGTTCGGTTAAAGCTGTAAAAACCAAGTTACTGTTTGTTTCAATTATATTCCTTGTTGTGTAGGCATGCCTTCACTGTGGTGGCCAACATCACGGTGTACACTGTGGCCTGGCTCCTCTTCCAGTCTCAGCACAATGTGGACCCCTCCATCCCAGACAGCCTGGGCCGAGTGGACATCCCTCTGTTCCGGGTAAGAAGAGAGACGCCAGAGAGATACCACACTCCTGCACAATCGCTATTTGTACTCTACCTCTCTTTCTTTGTGTGTAGACACTAGCCCTCATTCTACTGGGTACTGGAACTTTGTTCTCCCTAATATTCCATGTCGGCACAAAAGAGGCCATGTCGGCCTCAGAGAGCGAGATTCAGCTGATTACACCTTCCCCCTTGCAGGATGCTTTGCCTGGTCCTGTGTTTCAGTGGAAGCATTGGCTGAAGGAGCCTTCCTTCTACCAGGTGAACCTGTGCTGAATCAGAACGTTTCTCCTCTTCTTTCTCACAGGAAATGAGATTGTATACTTTGGATATAATTTGTGGTTAAATCACATGTACCTACTGCATTGCAGCTCAGCGTTTTGCAAACCACCCTGTGGTGTTTTTATAAAGGTTTTCCTGTCACACCTGGCAACCATTTGCTTCCATTCATTTTTTTTATGTGAAAATCCAATTAACACAGGGTATAATAATATAACATATATGATAAACATTAGGGCCGGGTGTTGAACCTCAATATGCACTGACCGTAATGTGTTCACAGCATCAACTCCAGGACAAAAAGCATTGAATGTTTGGTGAAATTCTTAGCCTTGTTAACTTATTTGGGTCGGATATTTCCTCATTTAAATGATAGTTTTGGTGACTTTCTTTTGATCAGCATTGTTTTCAGAAGTGTCTAGAGTATGCTAATTGATTTCCATATTAACTAAAAAGTAGAGACAAAATCTAATACTGTATAGCAAACATTCAAAATGGTCAGCAAGAATGTGAATGTATTATTTGTAGGTTTGTTTGCTAAAACTTGCAAAAACACTGAATTGGTCCTTTAAATCTTGCAACAGGTGACTTTCCTGTACATGTTCACCCGACTGATGGTCAACTTATCTCAGATCTACATCTCCGTTTACCTCACAGACTCACTGATGTTACCAAAGGTAAGGCCACACAGTGTGTTTTCATACAGTGACTTGATTAACTCGTCATGTGGCCTCTGCTTGTGAAACGTCTGTGTTGCAATTCAAACATTAGTTTCCCTCCTCTCTCCTCAGAACTTCATCGCGATCATACCTCTGGTGATGTATGTCAGCGGCTTTGTTTGCTCTCCGGCCATGAAACCAGTCAGCAAGCTCATAGGAATCAATGTGAGTCTCGCCCTAATAAGATATATTTGAGCAACTCTATCAACATATTGGCAACAACACTCCCTTGTGTTATGAATTCATCCCTGTTGCATGATTGATACATTATTAATTAGACAAAAAAGTGAATTAAATGTATTTGTCTGTTATCAGGATACCTATTTCGTCGGCCTGTTGTTGGTGTTTGGCTTCGTCACCTGGGTGTTTGTGGACAGGAGCATGGCAGTTGAGAGGGTCTATGGAGCAGCCGTGCTGCTGGGAGCCGGCTCGGCTACAATCCTGGTCATTTCTCTGTCCATGACGGCCACACTCATCGGGGAGCAGACAGTAGGTGGAGGGGAACTAACCTACAACAGTTTATATCTTTGCAGGAGAGGTGATGCATGAAGGAATATAAAAGGACAAGGCTTGCCATATTCTATATTTTTCTTGATGTCAACAAATCCCATTTAAAAAAAAAAAGCCAATACCAATAATGAAATGATCCTATCAACAAGTATAGTCTGTGTGTCCAGAGCTTGATGCATCTTATTCTTCTGTGTCATTCAGGGGAGCTCCAATGTTGTCTAATCATGTTAAAAACATTTCAATCAGGCGAGACTTCATTAGAATTTAACAATAATTGAATACACAGACAATACATGTTTGAATAGTGCAAAGTCTTTGGCGATTGAACTCCATCCTGAAGTAGGATAAACGAGGGGTAGTGATGCTGAGGTCAGATGAGGCCTAATCCCCCTGGAGTCCAGACACTGGTGGTGGTGGTGGTGAAGGGAGTTGCTGCAATCTGATGATGAATGAGGAGCATGACTGTGATGCTGACTGGAGGTGATTGGGGTGGAGGAGGGTCGCATCCGATTTGAGCTGAAATGACAACTGACAGCAGCAGAGAGGAGAACATTTTTAAAGTTTGACAGAAACGATGTAATTGGCTTAAGGAAACTGTGCAGAACCGGGTTGGTTAACTTAACCAAACCAGGTTCTGGTTAAATTAAACGGGCGTCTGTGGCTCATGGGGTAGAGAGGGTTGTTCGGCGAAATGTCCCTGAGCAAGACACTGACCTTAACTGCTCCCTGTATACTAGGGATGGGTTAAATGCAGAGAATAAATTTCCCCTCTTCTCTTCTAAAGTGAACCGCAGCTGATAATCAGTAATCACAGGATAGCCTTCTTGACTGAACTTCTGCTCACTCTTGAGTTCATCCCACACTGCTCTAAATACTCACACTAGAGCAGCAATGAATGAATCTGTATGAAAATAGTTCCCAACAAATGTACAATTTTCTTCTGCTTGAGTAACGTTTTGCAAAAAACTACAGTGCCCAGTTGTTTTAGGAAATTACTGAGCCTTTTTCAAAGTGAATATTTGTGACCTGTTTTAAAGGTCTTCAGTAGGAACACATGTGCTTGTAACTGACAGCAACAGAAGGGCAGGGCAGTTGAAAAGAACGGAGAGACACACATTGTTGGCAACAGTTGAGTGCCATGGCTTAACAGTAACAGCAAAGTAGTTTACCAGTGTGCCAAAAATGCTCTTTTAAAAAGCAAATATACAACCTGTCAGGGAACAAAAAATACAAATAAAATCACATGCCACTTGAAATTGTACGTACGTTTTCACTGTGGTTAATGTTCAAGACAACGCAAGGAAGAAATAAACAGCTACCCTCTTGTTTCAAACGTCCCATCACAAACAGCCATCAAGTCACAGGACAGATGAAGATCTAAAGCAGGGGTGGGCAATTATTTCCCCCAGGGGGCCGCATGAGAAACAGGGACTGTTGTGGAGGGCCGGACCAATAGACTGAACTCAATCCTGCTCTATTTTATTCCACCTCTATATAAAAAGTAAATTGTATGGTTTTAATAAGCTGAGTGGTAAGAGTAAATATTATGATCAGTGGTGGAATGTAACTCAGTATACTCAATACTGTCCTTATGTACAAATTCAAGGTACTTTACTTGAGTATTTCTATTTTATTCAACTTTGTACTTCCACTCCACTACATCTCAGAGGGAAATACTTTTAACTCTTCTCATGTCTTTCTTCACTCGCACCGTCTGAAAAGAGATGAATGAAAACACCAGATACATTTCTATTGTCTATTGTCTATTGTGCGTCTTATTCACAGAAAGCAATGCAGTGAAGAATTGCGTCAGTTTTTAAGGAGATTTAATTTGTGCTTTGATGTGGCGACTCTCATGATCCTTCATCTCTGTCTTGTTTGGCAGCAAAGTGGAGCCTTTGTTTACGGATCGATGAGCCTCACGGACAAGGTGGCTAACGGCGTCGGGGTCGTCTTAATCCAGAGCATACGACCAGACAGGTGAGTGTCTCTGTGACTGAGTCCTTTTCACTGATGCTCCATTAGAATGAAAGTTTGGAGGAAGCTGACCCTTTCATTCACATGCCTCACCCCTCCCACATGATTGTACCAGGTGACATGTTCCTTCACTACAATAAACGTGTAAACTGTATTTATTTTCAATTACACCTACCGCCTGAAACACTCACTAGAGCACCAGATTTGTTTTAATCCACGGCTGAAAATAATCGGAACCTGAGCAACGTTTTCAAAAAACCTACAGTGCCCAGTGGTTTTAGGAGATAGGATATTGATGTCAGATAGAAAAGTACAGAGTAACACCAGCGTTATCCTTTAACTTATGAATACGTGTATGTTTTTTTCCTACAAAATGATTTCAGTAAATAGTCGATTTTTCTCAAGATTCATGCGGCTTCATTGCACACAGTTGACCCCTTCACTTCTCAAAGACCACACCTTTAACCAAAGTTCTTCTCATGTTCTTTTCTCTCTAACAGCATGGAGGCCTGCGGCCTGGACTGTGTTGGGTTATATTGTGACGTCATGGTTTCGGTAACCGGGGGTGTGGCCGTGGCTGCACCTCTTTGCCTGATCACTCTTGTAATCTGGCCAATCAGGATACTGAGAAGTTAGAGTTCAAAATCTGCACCGCAGTCATTGGTTGTGATTGGACTCATACGCACACACGGAGAAAACAACCTGTCATGTCAGAGATTTAATAAACTACAGTGTTCGTGTCTTTTTCTGTTTAAATCCACTATTACTATTTCAGATAAACACAGAGCACATTTGTAGTTAAAGTCAGAAGATAGTGCAGAAGATAAAGCGACCACCTAGTGTATGAATCTGTAACTACACTGCTTTCCCTGAGGTATATACAGGTATATTTATTTATACGTATATTTAATGAGAGTATATTAAAAGCTTCACATCACAGGTGAAGTTTCCTTTAAAAAGATCTTTAATGGATTCAATTGTGTAGAAGAAAAAATAAAATCACACTCATAAATATACAATATTTCATATAGATATCTGATGATAGTATTTTGTGGATTGGGAAAGTAAATATGAAAATGAAAATATACACATTGTCAGAGCACTGAATGTAAAACTGCACAGCAGAGACACTGGAACGATTCACACAGTAACACAACTGAATTAGTTTTTTAGTAATTGCATTAATTCATTTATAATAATAATTGATAATTGAACAATGCTGTACAATGTACATTTTAGTTTTTGTCCATTCCCGCTGTACGTTTGTAGTCTTTGTCTGTCTCATGAAAGCTGCATGTATGAATTTGTAAATGTTGTAATGGCTCAGTGAACATACAGTATATCACAATTTGGCCTTGTCTATTTAAGAGCCAACTGATCACATGTCCCTTAAGGAGCAATGACAAAGCTCTATATATGTTTTGTGTGCAAAATATAAATATACAAAGCTGTATATAAAGTTAGTTGACTAGTAACTAAAGCTGTCTAACAAATGTTGCAGATTACAAATTACAAGTACAAGTACCTCAAATTTGCAGTAATTAAGTAAATGTGTTGCGCCACTAATTGAAGTAAGAATTTACTAAACTACAGTTCAATAACTACATTGTCTGTGATGAGGATCATGTTTATTACATGTTAACTTTTGTTAATCATTTCTTTACTATAGTTGTATTATTGATTCATTGTAATGAAAAGTTCCCCTGTTTCTGAATCCGCGTGGTCGCTGTAATAAAGCCCGACCTCTCGCGGTTGAGCCGCGGCGGTGTTGCGGTCTTGTGGGCCTCATCCCTGCGGAACAAAGCACTTGTTTCAGAAGCTGTGTGACTGTGAAGGAAACCGTTGTCTGTCTCCGCCTGGGACAGCAGCTTCAAGCGGAGTGGCGACTTTTACATTTAGTCTCAGAATAAGAAGTTTACTTCAATATTAATGTAAACATTCGGTTGATTTTTTGACGGACATATTTTTCTCTCGACTGTTCCAAACTTTGAGAGCAAGGAGAGTTTTGACAGGAAACAGACTCCTCCAGCGATCCTCAGGTAAGAAAACATGACGTTTAAAGGTTAAATATGATCTAAAAACAGTAAGTCGAGTTATTCTATTAGACGACACTTGCATTAAATGTATGTCTTCTTATCAGGTTGTTATCAACAGTATTCGAGTGAACAGCGCATTAAGGGTATTAACGGTAGTAACGTTAGATTTGTAACAGGTGGGACCCCTCATGTTACCTAATCACGAGACGGTAACGCTGGTTAGCGGTGTAACGTCAGGTGAACTACCTTTTGAAGTTGGTTATTGGTTATAAAGGAGTCAGTTAAAACGATCAATACAAGAAACCTATTGGGACAAAACACAGAAAATCGCACCAAGGAAAAGCGTTCCTCAAACCTGTTCCAGAAGTAGGAGCAGCAATGCCACAGTGTAGAAACTACAAGAACCAAAATATACTTAAAGTAGCAAAAGTAATCATGTAGAATGCCCCATTTCAGAATGACGCACTAATGTGTGTATGTATGCCTCACTGATTTCAACTACATTTGATACTGCTGTGCAGCTTGATGTGTAATAATGCATCATTAGTGGATTTATATTTTGTATTAATAATAACTAAAGTTACTAATACTTTCACATATATGTAGCGCAGTAATAAGTACAATAATGTGAATAACAGGTTACAGGTTCACAACCTGTAAGCTTTAGATGTTTTCTGATGATGTTACGTGTGTGTGTGTGTGTGTGTGTGTGTGTGTGTGTGTGTGTGTTTATATCATTGACTGCAGAGCTCAACAGTAAGGATTTCCATTGGCAACCATTTTGAGAAATTCTTGGCCTTTTGTTTTCCAAATCAGTGACTCGGTAAAACTAGGTACAGCAAACAGCAAAATGTGCAGCCCAAAATAAATACACGTTTAATAGTTGTTTCAGTAATATTTAAATATTGCTGTTACAGTCGGAACCTAAATCAGATATCAAAGCTAGTGCAGTTACCTGCGTGCGCAGCATCTGTTTTAGAGATGGCGGTAAAGCTAATTAGGTTGTTTGACTCTGAGGTAACTTGACTAACCCATCAACATCAACATCACAATGTTCAAACTAATTCAACTAACAAAGGACCAGACTAACCTGAACAAAAAACAAAAAAGGAAATAAAGTGGTGCATTGATGACGTATTTTTGTAGGCCAATCTAATTCCATTTTCCACATTGTTCCATATTCCTATTCTGTTATTTTGAATGATGAATGATCCTTTTATTCATTACACATTTTCCGTCCCTGCGGTGATTCGACTGTGAGATTGAAAGTTGAATCAGACTCCTTAGACCGTAGAATAGTAGACTATTCTACAGCGAACTACAACACGGTCGCATGAGTACACAACGAGGCTGATAAGGCTGATGTAGTCTCAGTTAGCCACTTGTTAGCATCCCCCTTTTTTAAGACACGGAGGAGCCTCACAATTCACAAGAAGGGTATTTTACATATATATATATATATCGTAGAACAAAACATTAAAACCTCTTAAGCTTTTCTGTGGTATGCCTTAAGTGCTCCAGTAATAAAGCCCAAAAGACAAAAAAGTAGGACACGAATGTCGCAAAATTCATGGGCGCTACCGACTGCAGCATCTACAGAACATGCTCTGCCGGTCAGTACGATTTAAATGCTCCCTCCATGAATTTTACTGTGTTAACTGTAGTTTATCTGTTTTGCAAGTAAAAAAAGTATGCATAAAATACTTAAAGCAAACTTTAAGACATCAAATAAAACAATAGGAGCAAGTTTTTGGTCAGGTTTTGTGTTTATTCAACACCATTTACTCTAACTTCATTAATATAGCTGGGGTAGACGAGCTATTAGAATCCCCCCTCAGTATGATGTCATACCCTTCAACAACACGACCGTCTCCAAAATGACAATTAAGTTGAATCAACATCTCTCTAAAACTGTTCATGTATTAATGTGTATTAATTAAAGACACCTAAAGCATCTGCAACTGAATGCACACGTGTTTTTTTTGTTTTTTTTAAAGACCCAGGTATTTTTCCACGGGGTGTTTTTGGGCAGGAAGTCATGGCTGAATCCTGTGTGTATGCCAGTGGGTCCCAGCCTACATCGGGGTCGGGCCTAATTGTTTTTGACAGATGGGAGACATGTGACTGTTTGACTGGAATTCCATTATTAGCAGCAGATGATAGAATCTCTGTGTTAGAGGAGCTCAGGCTGCGGCTGGTGGGTGTCTGACCTGACCTGTGACTGTGGTCCAAACATTGTGCTCTCTGCCCAGCATGAAAATGAAGTTTGTGAGCCAGTTTTACACAAACAGCACTGTACTATTACTACTGCTTCTGCTACTACTGCTGCTGAGTAAAAGTAAGCTGTTAAATAAATATAAAGCTTCCCCTCACGGCTTTAAAGATTAATCGATTAGTTGTCGATAATTAAATTAGTCGTCAACTATTTTGAAAATCAGTTTGAGTAATTTTCTAAGAAAAAAAGATTTTTTTTTACTCAGTGATTAATTAATTTGTCAATAAGATGTAGAAATAAATAGTGGAAAATGCCCAATATCCCAAGTTAATGTCACCAAATGTTTTGTTTTGTTTGACTAACAATTCAAAACCCAAAGATATTCTGTTTTCTTCCACTAAGACAAAGCAGCATATTCCTGTGTTTGAGAAGCTAAAACCATCACTTTGTTTCAAGTTAAACCATTAATCATTGCAGCTCCAGCTCTGTCTGTGATTTCTGCCTCCCAAAGATTCGCACTGCAGTACTTTCAAATGCTTCCTGTAGAAAATTCCTACTTTAATACATTGAAAAAAACGTTTTGAGACCATATTGGCTGTTTGGCAGGTTTAGAGGAGTTCAAAAAAAAGAGCCAGTTTGTGCTCAACATGTTGTACTTTTCCTAATCTTATATCTGGGGCCTTGGGTGGTTGTTTGGTCGTTCTCAGTATAATTTGGTTTCATTGTAATTCCAGACACTGACAGTATAAATTAACCTAAGACCCAGTGGCTTAGGAGACGGCCCGTTTATCAACATTAAAGGACACCTGACACCGCTGTGCACCACATCCACCTGTCCTCCCCTCTTTCTGTCTCTTTCTCCGGCCTCACTCCACTCAGGAGCAGCACAGAGGAGCCCTTGTTTGATCCTCCCTAGACAGTGCCCCAATTTTCCTTTTTTTTTTTTTTACCCTGACTCCATGGCAACATTGTTCCCCTGACGAGCAGCCTTGACTTTTGCCCCTCCTGCTCCAAAAACAAAGGCAAGAAGTTATTGGAGGGAGGGAGAGAAGGGGGAGAGGAGAGCCCGGGGACAGGAGGAATTGTGAGGGGGGATGAAGGATATGGAGGAATGAGGGAGGGAATAATGGGAAGGTGTCTTGGATGGAGGCTCTGAGGCGAGACTCCTTCTACCGTTTGTGCCAGTGTCCCATAAAGAAAGGAGAGTTACTACTGGAGACTGTGGGCAGTGCCAGGGACTGTCTCTCTGTCTGTCCGTACGGCCGCTAAGACTGGGTTATATAGACGGTCTCACGGATGTGAGGAGGAACCTTTTGGATCGTTCGTATCACATCGTGCAGGATTCTCCGAGCGCGTCTCAGGGTCTGATAGTGTGACACTCGTGACCTTCGAAGATGCAGCTCGCATAAATCAAGCTTCACTCCCTCGCATTCTCACCAAGGTGCCTGAACAGGAACAAAATGTAGTGGAAAGAGTTATTTGTTGTTGTTAAAACTATTGCTGTTGTGCCGCTGGAAGAGTTCAGAAAGCACTTTGCAAACATCCCTGAAAAGATTAATCAAATATCCGTTATTTTCATCAGCAATTAAGCTCCTGATTATTTGCAGGTTTGGTCTATAAAATGTAAGTACGTGTTTAAATAAACGGCCAACCCAATTTCACTGAGCTCTATGTGACATATCACATGGTTTGTTCAGCTAACAGTCCGAAAGTAAAAAACTTTCAGTTGAGTTCACTTTCATTCATGACAAAATCGTTTGACATTGACCTTTTTACTTGAAAAATGACTCAAGGATTTATCAATATATCAAAATAGTTAATACATTTTCTGCTTTTTTCTGTTATACATTTAGAAAACATTGTGTTTTGGACTGTTGATCTGATAAATCAATTAATTTTAAGACCTGACCTCTGGCTCTGGGAACATGTCAGTTAATTCTCTAAAAAAGATGAATCAACAAAAGCAATAATTAGCTTCACCCTTTGGATTAATGACTTATGTCCCTTATTGTTATGTCGTGTATTTGATAGATGACGTGTTACTGTCTGTTACTCAAGCACTGTGGTCATATCAGGGTGAGATTAGAGTTGGCAAAGAAAGTAAAAGAAGCATTAATGTTCCATTTTTTAGTTTTCTGCAGTAACTTTCTCTGCTTTTTACATGCCTTTTAACTGAAACATGTAGGCAGCCCCCTCCCTGTAGGGCTCAATGTAGAAGATTGTTAAGTCGTATACACTGTGACCTTGGATATCTCTCTGTAAGATTTGGTAACGAGAAAGAAAACGAGAAAAATGTGCTTGGGGATTAGCGGGAGTTGAAATGTTCAAAGACTGGCTGGACATTGTGGAGGCTGGAGAGAGACTCCTACAGTCTGTGAAGAGGCAAAAAGGAAAGTATTGTTGTTTGGCTGCGCTCCCTGTCCTGGTACCGACATCTCCACACTGATTCTGACTTTGCTGGTACGGAAACCTCAAGGCTTAAGGTCAACGTTCTAATATATTTATATTTTCTGTTAATGTAGGAAAGCAGTTCTAATCTAGTTTATAATATGATAAGTGCTGAACTTTCTGCTCTCTGTAAAACCTAATTTACTCAACGTGACAGAAATGAAAAGTTGCACAAACAAGCCTAACTTGTGCCCTCGTAAATCGCACTCCCTGGAAGTGGTAAAACATTTACACTGTTCTGTTACTAAATGTCATTACCAAAGACAGTCACGCCTAACTTTCCATATCTCCACGTAGCATTACTCATATCAGTGCTGCTGAAAAACAGAGACGGACAAATCTCACCAGCTTTTACACTTTGCTCTCTCCACTATCCACAAACTCTTTCTGTTTTGTCCGCTTTTGTTTTTACAGTTCGGGACATCTTTGAGCGATGTTTGACAAGCAGCACTACGAGAGTCCACCTGTCTACAGTCCTCCCTTCAGCTCGCCATCCAACAATGGCTTTGGCCCTCCAGGCAGCTTCAATGCCCCTCAGAGCGATTACAATGCATACCCACCTCCCCCGGGATCGTACTACATTGAGGACAAACCGCAGCACTTCTACAAATGGCTGTCACCTCCGGGGATCATCAAGGCCATGATGGCTACGGTGATCGTGTTGTGTGTGGCGATATTTGCCTGCGTGGCATCCACTCTCATGTGGGACATGCAGTATGGAATGGGCATGGGAATGGGCTATGGCGGTGGCGGTGGATACGGTGGCGGCAGCTACGGCTCAGGATACGGTGGTTATGGAGGAGGCTACGGAGGAGGAGGCTATGGAGGAGGAGGCTATGGAGGAGGAGGCTACGGCAACAGCTATGGCTCCTACGTCTCACCGTACTCAGCCAAATCCGCCATGATTGCCATGGCAGCCATCAACTTCATAGGGGCACTGGCCTTCTTCATTACCAGCTTCTCTAAATCCAACATGGTCCGCTGTAGGAAGTTCTTTCTGGCCCTCATGATAGCCAGCATCATTATGGCTATCTTGCAGGTAAGACTCATTCACATTTTATAGTCTCCAATCACTTTATGTGGAGGAAACATAAAACAGGACACTGGTGATGGGTGATTAATTTGAAGCACAAGATGTATCTGTAGCGGGAACAAGAGAGCCAAATATTACAGAAATCACAATCTAAGTAGAACATAGATCACTTTAAATCAGACGGAACATCAAAAAAAGTGCCGGGCAAGAGATTTACTTGACTTTTGCTTACTGATTTTCCTAAACCAATAATATCCAGAGCACTTTGTCTTTTATTCTCAAGAATAAGGACATTGTTTCTCATAGACTTTGCAGCTCCTGTTGCTAAATCAAAGTCTGTACCTTTTGTTTGTATTCATGTCATACACACCCAGCCCACAGTGGCTTAGAATACACCAAAGATCGTTTACTGGACATATGCTACGGTGTGTACCAACGGTTTAAAGTTGAAACTGCTGCACAAACTTCACACCCAGAAAAACAAAATATATTGTTTCTCCGTTCATAAGGTTCATGGCAAATATCCATAACTACCCCCGAGCTAAAACAGGTTAAGACTTTTATCATGATCCAGCAAGACACTAAGATGCAGGGCAATATACTCAAGTCATTGCTGTAAGGGACAAGAATGCTAAAACTGAAATTAATTTTCAATCTTACCTGAGTCATGCACAGAGTGTTGACCTCTGTTTAGATTCTGCTGCCTGATTCTACACTGCAGATGTTTAAAAGGATGTGAATTACATCAGCAATTCCCTGCTGCGGTATCCCATATTCATGTCTAATATTTGGAGTTTCCCTTCTCACATCCCAACGAACAGTGAAAACACACATCTCTGTCATGAACGGTATTTAAATGTGCATGTTTTTGAAACACCCTGAACACCAGTGTATAATGTGAAACAAGACTCTGTGTGTACACATTTTAACTCTCGGTGGTCTACACACTGAGTCGGTTAAAGCACATGTTCATCCACAAGTACGTTCAAGATCACACTGTTATAATAGTGCTAACATACTAATAGTGTGATCTGTGCTCATTGTTATCGATCATTGTTTGTTCCAGGGCATCATCAGCATCGTCTACATCGTTGGGGTGAACCCCATGGCCCAGGGCTCCTCCAGTATGAGCTACAATCCCATGTTAATAATGTGCCAGAACCTCTACCAGACCAGCTACTCACAGATGGGAGGAGTGGGAGGCTTCCCCATTTACAACCAGTACCTCTACCATTACTGCTTTGTTGACCCACAGGAGGTGTGTAGATATTAAGTAGATATCAACGGTTGAGTCAGTATTTGATATAACTCTCTTGAGGATCAATTCAAGTAGATGTATTATTCTATTTATAACATTATTTTAAATTGATTGGGCTAGAGTAGTAACTGTAGTAGCTTATTTGGAAGGTATTTTTAAATGGGACGAGCGGTGAAGGCCACAACATGTATTTTTAACTAACTATTGTGTCTGAACTACAGCCCAAAACACAAATATGTTCTATATACAGTGATATAAAACAAAGACAAGCAGCAAATCCTCACATTTCTGGAGCTGAAACCAGTACATTTTTGGCATTGTTTATTATTAGATTTTTTGTTGTTATTGGTGATTAGGTTTGTGTTCATAAAATAAATGTGGTTGAAATGCTTTGTGTTTGCTTGTGTATCACTCGCCAACATTTGATGTGAAACTTTGTTAAAAATGTGAGATAAATCTGGACTCATATTCGCATATTATCAGTCCTTTTCTGTTTTGTAATATGTTATCATGCAGCAGTTGTTACAGTTTTTGGGTACACAGAGCCACACAATGTGATATTTATTTCACTGAATGAAGTCACACGTGTACAGTATTTGTGTACTTTGAGTACCAGGATAAAGCAGCTTTATTTTACAGCTTATCTCCTTGAGAACGTTCCAGTTTTTAATCTCATATTCTTGCTTTTCCAGGGAGTTGCCATGGTGTGTGGATTCCTGGTTGTCTTTGCCTTCGGTGTTGCGGCTTTCTTTGCTCACAGAACAAGAGGGAAGATCTGGCGCTACGGGAAACCAAATATCTACTGGGAAGAGCCTCTTGTTGGCGGGAAGGCCTCAGAGGGCAGAGACGTAGAGGAATGGGTAAGAGACAACAGGTTAATAAGATTTACATGGGATTTACAAAGAAAAATCATATTTCCGACCCTAACTGACCCTGAGTTTGGGCATGCACAGCTGGCAGTCAAATGAACAGGGTTTAACAGAGGGTTTAAATCCAGCCTAAGAAAAGTTGATGGAATACAATGTTCACAGACGGATTTGATTAGAGGATCAAACTAGAGAACATCTTGCGTTGGGGTCACACCAGCCCAAATCGGGCTTTACTTTTTTCAGGTTCCGTCTTACATTTTTCCAAAATTCCGTGTTTTCCATTTGAATTGTTCTGAATTCTACAATTTGAGCTCAATTTGTCAGCAGAAAGAGTGTCTAATCATGTAGTGAGTGAATAAAATGTTAAAAAATTCCATAAATCAATATTTAAAATGTAATGAATATCAATAATTTTGATGCATCACAATATTGCACTATTTTTTTTTAGTAATCAATGCAGTTATAAAACAATGCGCACACGCTCCCCGGTCAGCTACCACCACAAATACAATCCAATCCTGTAGGAAACAGTGATTCTGTGCCTACGCTGAAGCTGTACTTACGCTGATGTAAAGTAGGTAAAGAAGGTTGGCTGCAGTGAGGTATTCCTCCTGCTTAAGTAGTCATCAGTTATAAAGATGGGTTCGAGGATGGTGGTGATGCCGTAAAATAAAGCTGACTTTGCACATTACCGAAGTTGTTTTGTCACTTGTTATGCTATGTGACACAATATGTCCAGATGTTGTTCACCAGTTCAACATCTCTCATATGTTTTCGTTGTTTGAGTTAGAAGTCATATACACATCTTTATGAGTTTACTGGCTCCAGCAGGGAAATGGTCAGAGTACCATAACAGTGTTTCCTCTGACTGAATCACTTTGTTCAGGGTCAGTGAGTGTTTGCTCATGGTCTACTACCTGGTTTCACTCTGAATAATCATTAACCACCTGAGAAGATGATAAGCAAGCAGGCGGTTTCTAGAGAGACGGCCTTCGGGTTTTTAAATGTCAACATCACACGAGTCACATGAGACCTGAGATACGGGTTAATTATTGACTCGACCTGCCACTTTTCAAATGATGCCTGTTGTATACAGTGAATGACAATAAGTTAACATCGAAAGCTCTGTACACTCAGTTTTTTATCTTAAAACTAGGTCTGTAGAATATGTCCGCTCTGTTTCTAAAAACTGTAGTCAGCATCCTCCCCAACACATGATGTCCACATCCAATGTTTGCTTTAACACAGGGGAGTGTCAGGAACACAAATCAATACATGCAGACACATGGCATATTGTACATGAATGCCAATTGCAAGTGAAAGAAATACAAATACATAGAAAAAAAGCCAAATAAACAAAACTAAATATTGCTAGTAGTCCTTTACGCCCCATCCAGCCATCTATTTGCCCATGCTAACTGACAGTGATACGTCTAGCATCCAAACCTTATTTAAATGGTGTGCTGATTGTTTTATTTTAGTTGACAAGTACACTCCAAGGACTTAGAAGTACTAGCTTAGCTCTAATATTTGATCAAATTAGTCAATGAAGTGCGTAGAAAGTGCTGCCGGTCACACTTTATCTCTGGCACTATACAGACGTGGTGTTTTGTTGGATTATATAGAGCTGTTTGTTTTTAAGAGTGGTCATCTTTGCCTAGAACACGGATACATGCACACGGAGGTGTACAGGCAGAGCAGAGTAGATGAGTCAAGCCTGGAGTGAATACTATGACGAGCACTAGTGTCTGACAATGGAGCCATGCTCACTGATGTCATCGGACTGAATGGTGGGTACAGTAATGGAGTGGATGCTGCTGCTGCATTTAAAAGTTTCACCAAATCGTGATATTTGATGTTAATATTGCTTTAAGAAAGAGAAAGAGATATTTAGTTTATTATAAAGGGTAGTGAAAAGGGCAAAGAGTATCCAAGGAAGATGAATCTTGGAAGATGTGATTGTTATTGAAGGTCTGATGACTTTATTATCTATAGTTACATATTTTATCTTTGGAAAAACCTCAATAAACTGGGTATCTTAGTGTGGTAGAATTGAACTCATATTTCCACTGTTCCTGCAGTTATTTATTTTCTATGTTGCTGCGCTACCTGCAGTCTGTATCTGTGCCACAAAATGAGTCATCGGGCTTGTCTGACTCCTTTAAACACAAGGCCAGTGACAGTCTGAGGCGGTGGTTGGTTTGAGATTGTACCCATCTCTGTTGCTGAGCTCAAGGAGGCCTGGCATGCTCTGATGACCTCACACACTGGCCTCATTCAGCTGCGGCATTGTGTCTGCTGCATGAAGTCATCAGAGTTGGTCTCTGCAGGGCTGTCTGTGTCAACTTCAATTTACAGTCATCAGTTAAAAAAAAAAAAGGTCAAGGCCAACTGATGATTTACAGCTGTGCAAGAAAAGGCAAAATACTACCAAACTCTGAGAGTTTGGTAGAATAACACTGCTATCTTATAACCTTTACGTGTGGCGTCGGCCTACAGTTCAGGTTAGCCATCTTTGTATTTACTGTGCCACTAAATGCTGGCTGTACGGTCAGTTTACGTTTTGATAGTTTGTTTAGTGGATTAAATCCAAAGTGGCAGAAACAGGGAAACAACTCGTATTTTTGTCCCACCACCAGGAGACTGCCTTCGGAAAGGGCTAAACGAAAATACGAGTGGTTTTCTCCTTTCTCCCACTTCTGATTTAATCCAATAAACAAATGTACACCGAACCCGTAGCTTCAAGGTGATTATTATGCCTTTGGTGCAGGTCTACGTCTTCGTCCTCTCACGTTGGACTGAGGGCAGACTGAACACTACAGCGTCTCACTATCACTTCTCGAGGTACATGTATTATGACAAGACAGGACCGGCCGGGGCTAGCTGGTTAGCATGCTCATTTCAGTAGATATCTCTGCAACGTTAGTTCATTATTTTTTTCGTGTTTTGAGCTAAAACTCTGGCCATATCTTCCACACTTTGCACCTTTAAACAAGTTAGAATAATATTGTATTGGGAAACAAAATGTTGCTGCACCCTGAATAATCCCTGGTCTGACTGAAGGGGCTTATTGTTTGCCGCTTGAAACAAATGCTTTATGTTATTGACATCTCTTAAAGGAAGAGTACTGTAGAGTGTAGAAAAATATCTAAATGCGATTAGTTTGACCAGTTGTCCATTCAATGAGGTTTTTAGATTTGAAGACCTGATGATTTATTTTTATTTTCAAAATGAATTCCGACGTAATTGACCTGCGTATCTACAGCTAAAGTTGTCCTTCCAGATGATGCAGTCCAAAGTCGATGGTGATTTGAAAATTGCAACATTCATTGTATTTTCTCTTATAAATATGTCAATCGCTGCCACTAAATATAACTTGCTGTGAATACATTCACAATTTGCAAAGCACAAGTGCATCATCTTTGGTAAAGCACATCACTGCAATTGAGAGTTTTTAAAAAAATATTCAGTCATTTCTACCCTTTTCCATCATGAGTCTCCGTGCCACTGCTCTGCTTCTCCTTCTTCTTTTATCACACATGCACTCTTCCCTCACTTTGCATGTCGCTGTGCTTTGCTTTGCTCCTTGTTCTCTCATCAACATCCACAGCTTCGTCTCGCTGCCTCACTCGCTCTCTCTCCATCTGTGTCTTCATGCTTTTCTTCACCAGGTCCAGGACTCTCAGACATTCTTACTTTGCGTACACACTGTGCTCACAGCCCAGCAGCCGCTGTGCTGCACACTGAGAGTGCATTGTTGGGATTCTTACATGTAGCAAAGTCTTCAAATAGGGTTCTCCTGCAGCTGCAAGAAGGGCAAGTCTCCCCCACCCGAGTACTCCACCCACCATGATTATTGTTTCTTGGGGGCTAGGCTGATGCTCCTGCACTGTGAGGAATTTAAGAGATTGCTCAGTAATGTACCACCCAAGTAAGCAGGAGGGTGAACGTTTTTTTTTTAGGGTTATGTAAAGTTGGGGAATAGTACATTCTCACCTCTAAGCAGGACTGGTTCTGAAATACATTATAGACAAGTACAGGAATTCTTAATGCCTTCTTGTGCAGGTGCAGTAGGTGTTAGATGTCTTATTTCAGAGGAACACAATTCCTCACGATGCTCTGCACAGTTTTGTTGTTTTTCCAGCCCCAACCATTTTCAGTGCTATTTAGTGTACAAAGTCAGATGCCATGTGCCTGCTTAATTTAAAACCTGCCTCACGTCCTCTTTGTGGTGTTACATTTGAAAAACAACCAAAAGGCCTCTGCTAAAGTCAGTTAGTCCTCCGCGTAGCAGAGAAACAGTAAGACTTGTTTAAAATTTAGACTTAAATGTTTTGTGTCGAGGTTGTGTAAAAGATATCTAATGATTGATACGTTTACTGGAACCAGTGGGGGAAACAGTAACCACCCCTGAGGCCTTCATTGTGAGGAATTCCCTCATGCAGGCTGTCTGAACTCACAGGAAGGACTTGAAAATACAGATTAAGGGGAATTTATTTACTCGACAGACCTTTTGTTTGAAGACAGAAAGGGTGAACACATCCGTTCCAGGTGTTCATGAAGACAGAAGACAATAGAAAGAAGTGAAAGTAAAGCTGAAATTATTGTCAGATATTTTCTGTGTGTACATTATATCCTCACTTATGACCACTCTTTTTAGGTTATAGGGCTTTTAGAAAGAAACTTAATGAAATGCTTTGTAAACAAAAGACCATCAATGGTTTAGTCAGCCTTTGCTTTTGTTGTCTTGACCTTTTCAAGCGCGGTGAACCAAACAGATAACCCTCATTGGAGGAGTTGGCCTGTGCTGTCCAATTACACGTCTGACTGTTCTCTCAAGGAGAAAAATAACGGTTTCTGTCACAGGATGCCAGTCAGAAAATGAGCCTGTAGCTTTAGGTGTTTGTTTGTTTGCTGAGTCTGTTCCTTCCTGCCTGCTATAGGTGAACAATGTGGAGGAAAGCCGCAGTGTTCAAGACGCCCCCACCCTGCTGGTGTCCGAGAAGGGAGCCGGGCTGCTCAACGCCTCAGTGAACAGTGTCATCTCCTACCCCCCACCCAAGGTGGACAGCAGCTCCTACAATGAGGACACCAACGACAACAAAGAGTGGGTGACCTGTATTCTCAGCCCCCTTGTCTGCTCAGATTATAGAATTATACATACAAATCAGATTAAGCCCCAGACTTCAAGATGAGTCGTCAAAAGCATTTTTATGTTTTACAGGAAGACAGATATATTTGGTATATCTATATCTATGATATAGATAGATAGATTGATTCCACACAAACAATGAACCTCCAAACATGTGACTACACAAGCGATATCTGATCACTGCTCTGTTTTAAAGCCCATGAAAACATATTGCCCTCTGTTGAGCTGTGTGTGTGACCTTTGAGCTCTTGGATTCATGTTCCCTTCTTTTTTTTCTCATGCTCATTGAAATCTCTTAGGAAGGGAAAAGGCAGGATGTTGGTGAACGAATGTAATTGCTTTTCTTTAATGCTAGAAATGATTTCTCCTGCACCTTGTTTTTGTTTGCATTGGTGTTCTCAGGCCTGCAGTGTGTTTGACTGAAAGTGCATTGCTCCTCACGGTTACTTAACATCTCGGTACCTTTGAAAAAACAAGCCAAGCTCGTATCAGAAATATGCTCTGAATGACCTAATTAAGGTGAATCGCACTGTTAATGTTCAACACTAAGACCAAATAATACAATTTTACAAAGCAGGATTTAGCTTTGGTTCAAAGTACAGAATATTATTGTTTTGACGATTTCTCTCTCACAAAGTGAACATAGCTGGCGTTTTCATAAGCAGAGGAATGTCGGAGTGCTCTATTGTTGACAGACTTTTTTCCTAAGAAGTTGTAATATCTGCACTGCTGGATTTGGATTCCTCTACAAATCCCTCCGAACAAAATTGAGCATGTTTCCTCCTTCCCGTTATTAAAGTGCTGTCCCTGCTTCCTGGTCACTGAGTCGAAGTGTAGGGGGTAAGAAACAATAATCATCAGTGGGTCAAAGTGTTTACCTTCCTCCATATGTTATCTGTCTGGGCCATATAAGTGAATATTGGTTTTCTTTAGACACTGTCTCACATATTTAAGTTCCTGGTGTTATTTGGGTCCTGATTACTTTATTTGTTCTATGTGGTCAAGAGCACGATGTCCACTGGGAATGGGGTGATTTCAGTAACCTCTTTAAGGTTATATTTTAAATAAAGTCTCTCCAACGAAATTGTGATCTTAGTGTAATGCTATTTCCATGAAAGATACTTAGTGGTTCCAGTGGGAAGGCAGTCATTACAGAATTGTTTTCATTTTTATGTTGCTGTCCTGCAGGTACTCGGAGAGGACCACCAGCAGACCATCAGAAGCCTTCTCCCATGGCGGAAGAACCAGCTCCAGCCCGTCAGAGGAGACTGGCGGCGGTCGCAAACCCTCTGCCAACAGGGGCAAGAGACGCAGACGTAACCCTGAACTGGACGAGTCTCAGTATGAGACGGAGTACACCACAGGAGGAGAAACGGGCAATGAACTTGACGAAGAAGAGTGGGAGAAGTAAGAATATACTATTGTATCTCCCTGCAGCTCATACGTTGTCTGGATTAAAAATGGAAATGTTATTATCTTGGAACAAAGAATGTTGATTGCAGTCTCTCCCTTAGGACCAGACCCAAATTCTTTGATTGAAATGAACAACTGTAAGCTCAGAAAATCAAGCTCACATTAGAGTGACACACGATTTACAGGAACATGCAGCTGGAACATCTTTTGGATCGAAGTACAGAATAGTAAATAAACAGATGCTTAAACAGCAAAGCTTGGAAAAGGCTTCAGGCTGTACGCGCTTCTCTCTGTCCAGGAGGGTAGTTAATCCTCTGAGGCATTCAAGTTCACATGGGCTGTACTCAGGAGTAATGAGAATTGGGCCAAAGGTACAAAACATGGTCGTCATTGTATTTCATGAGAAAGCAGTTTTATTTGGCTGTTGTTCGATCCACCTATACTAACACAGCATTATTGAAACCAGCACCTACACTATTACTCATAGACCAGTGCACTGCGTTCCTGTGCTTCAGTAGTAAGCTTGATAACCTCAGTAAAGGTTGTGTAAAAGTGTGATGTTCTTGTGCAGAAAGTGTTTTTAAGTCTTTCTAATGAGGTTTTTCTCTGATGCTGAATTCTCTCCTCCTCCTCCTCCTCCTCCTCCAGTACGTACCCAGATATAACATCTGATGCTCAGCGTCAAGACTATAAGAGAGAGTTTGATGTCGACCTTAGGGAATACAAGCGCCTGTGTACTGAGATGGACGACATTAATGACCAGTTGAACAAACTCAGTCGGCAGCTGGACATCCTGGATGACACCACTGCCAAATACCAGGTCAGATATATGCAGTGCTCACCTCCTAAACTCAGGAGAAAGGAATGTATGAGTCAGAAATGCAATACGCAATATTATTCCCTTTCACTGTAACTTTAATAGTGAAAAAATAAGCCTCATGAATTAAGAAATGTTATTATTCTTTCTGCCAAAACAAGCTTCTCTTTCCTTACAATTGCCAAAAATGAAGGTTATCATTTTGCCGTTTGCAGCTGTAATATGCTGAAATCTGCTCCACACATAGTATCAGTTTTGGGTTTATGCTGCGTCCTTCTTTTTCATAAACTTCATTTGTAATGTTTTATGAGCCACCCACCCTTTAGTGTTCTGGGGCCTCAAAGCAATAATTCTACATTAATAATGAAGAGAAAAAAGATATTAATTGTTGAGTAATACAATCGTAATCCTTGCAGTGCTGATTAGCCTGAAATCAAACTGCCACTTCAACAGTTCACAATTAGGCAGAAATGTACTGAATGTGCTGAATATTTGCGAATTGTTAAAGTACATTTTTTTTAAATGCACCCATAACGTCTAGCATTTTCATGATTCTCATTTGTTGAGTCACTGCACTGATGAGTTCAACCAGATATCATATCTAAGATATTTGACTTTGTCTTGGGTTGTTGTTGGAACATCTCAGCCCTCTATCTCCATTTTACTGACACTATTATGTACGGCATTGAAGAGATGCAAGTATACATTGCAAAGACTTAGATAGACACACAAAGACTAAAATCCTGTTCATCAAGGTCCTGAGTGCACAAAACAGATGTTTTGTGCACTCAGGACCTGTAAAACGGGAAAAGACAAGATTCTTCTAAGATTCAGTTTGTATGTGAGAGACACAGGATCACAACAAATGTTTTTTCCTCATTTTTCCACAGGCTGTAGCAGAGGAATATAATCAGCTGAAGGATCTGAAGCAGGTGAGCAAACATCTCTGATAATACTTTATATAAACTAAACTCCATAAAGACTTTACTCAAAATATATTGCAGTTATTTGTGGAAGCATTACGTTGTTAACATCCAGCTACAAAATGTCACCTCATTTAGATTTCCTCGTATTCTTTTGTACATAAAACTTTTTCTCTAAACATTTTCCTTGACAGTTCATCATGAAGCTTTTAGAACCTTTTCTTTAGAGCAGAAGAGCTAACATTCTCACTGTCGAGCATTATTGAATAACTCATGCATTTTTGTGCTGTTTTGTATTGTTACATGACTCATCTAGTGTTCTCTCTACTCTGTAGACATCCGACTACAGGTCTAAGAAGAAAGAGTGTCGCATGCTGAGACACAAGCTGTTCCACCTCAAACGCATAGTGAAGGACTACGACAAGAACCACTGATGAACCCACTGAGTCCTGACACTCAGCTCTGTGGTCCTCACAGCAAACAGTCACAGACACACAGGCCAAGATACACTCCAAAATACTACAAAGACTGTGACATGCCAAGACCAAAGTTACCTGTACAGGGTCAACACACTCTGGATAACACCCCACAAACACACACACACACACACACACACACACACACACACACACACACGCACACGCATAGGGAACATCAGTTATGAATAAATAACTACTTTTTTTTAGAAGAAAATGGAAGCAGGGCACTCGGCTGTAGCCACTTCCACAGCAAACACTGCCTTTTCAGCATCATTGTTCACAGTGTTCAGTCACTTGTGCGGATCAGAGGGTGTGGTTTTGAGAAATGTCATTAAAAATGTACCTGACCTGCAGTCACCTGTGATAAGACTGTGCTAAGTTTCTGTGGCTCTGTTTGCTCTCCAACTTGTCTTTGTTTTATCTCCACAGATAAGAGGTGGAGCAGTATTGTAGAGAACGTAGTAATGGGTGAGACGGGTTGCTAGGATTGTTTTGCGAGCAAATCTTTGTCACATATGAACTTTAGTTGTGCTTTTTCTCATCTTCTGCGTTAGTGTTCGTAACTAATTTTAACGTCAGTGAAGTTGAAACTGCTCTCTGCCGGGACCACGTGTTTTTACTGGCTTTTTTTTAAACCAATATTTTTACATTGATTGTCATTGATGCAGTGAGACCAAAAAGGGGACAGAGTCGCCATTGAGATATGCGAGACATCGTTGTTTTATGTATGCTTTTAATGAATATTGTTCATACTACCTACCAAGAAGAAATTTACAGTATATGTTTGTTAGATTCAGCAGATATCTTAGTTCTGTCTTTTGAACCTACTAAAGACTCAATGTGGTTGATTTTTGATCATTCAAAATGTGCTTAAGCTATGCAAATGATTAAAACTAAATCCTGACTACTTTATCTTATATTTTTTATTATGCAAGCTCCTCAACACACTGGAAAACACTGTTTCTTTCACTGTCTATAAGCTACGCTCATCTTTTCATTTGATTCTTTGCCAATGAAAAACGATCATCTGCTAATTCCATGTGTGGTCATTTTTGTATTAATCCCTTTCTTGTGCAAAGTGTTAGGATCTAGTGGATGTTATAATGTGTTAATTATTCAGACACACTTTTGATTTCTCGTGCATTTGTATTTTTACAAAGAACAATGTTGTCATTTTACAAACCATTTGCGAGCCATTTATTTTTGTACGAATTTATTTCCTTAGATGCTATTATAAGACCATTTTTTGTAACTGTATACTTCCAGAAGGTATGATATCTAAAAAGTACTGAGTTCAATAATAATAAAACATTCTAATTCTCTTATAATTAGATAAACCCGTCTCTTACTTTTTCACGTCTTCCATGTTTTGCTGACCCTGCTGATAGCTCCAGCTTTGTGCATCTGCAGTGAGCGTCCAGCAGGGAGAGCAGAGTGACTTCAGGGAACCACGATCCAATCACTGTCAGCTCAAGGTAAGCTGTTGCTGCCCTCTTTTGGTAAACTACTTTAAAACCAACTTACTATACCAGAGCTGTTCAGCACCGGTATCTGCAGTTTCACAATGGTGTTGTTTAATTGTCATTGTATATTGTTTTTTTGCAGTTAGTACACAAAAACAACAACATTTTTATTTTTATTTTCTACTTGAATAACTAACGAAATGCTACAAAACACTAATTAACCTTCAGTTTTGCTTCTTGAGTGTTCGTGTAATCTGTACTCTTTCCAGATTTCAATGGTGGAAAGGTTCATGTTCATCTGCTTGTAACACCTGAAGTTTCTAAACAGCCTCTTGGATTCATTTTCTTCATTTATATTTACAATCGCAATGTCCGTCTGTCCTGGAAGAGGGATCCTTCCTCTGTTCCTCTTCCTGAAGTCTCTTCATTTTTATCCCAGTTAAAAGTTCTTTTGGAGAGCTTTTCTTTTTCCAAAGTGAGTGTCTCAGGACAGGGTGTTGTATGCTGTACTGATTTTAAAGTACTTTGAGGCAAATGTGTGATATCGAGCTGTATAAATTAAATCAACTTGACATTTTGAATGCAAATGTGTATGCCCAATATCAAGAATAGAGCTGCAATTCACAAGTATTTTCATGATCAAATAACTATTTGTTTGTCATTAATTGATTAATGATTTAATCTATAAATTATCACCAATCGTGAAAAAGACTCATCACAAGTTCTGAGAGGTAAAGGTGTCATCTTAAAATTGTTTGACCAACAGTCCAAAACATATTCAATTAATAACGAATAATTAATATGAAGCACAGAAAAACAGAATATTCTGACATTTTGAAGCTGGATCAAATATTTAACAATTTTACTTGATTGGGCGAATTAAGTAAGTGTTATTATTTCAGCTCCAAACAGGAACTTTGACATTAAAATGACTGGCAAAGTGTTTCTGATTTTGACAGATGTGTGCAGTGCCTTAATGTCTCAGAGACATAAGTCATCCACAGAGAGAATGTACATTTTATTTTATTTCTCGTAATAACCAGTCGTATGAACTTCTTTTGCATTTTGTTAGGTTTAGCATGGTCAAAGAAACATGCTTCTTTATAAAGCAAAGCTACACAGTGAAATCACTATCCTTATATTCCAACAAATAACACAAAGTGATTCAAGAACAGTATAATTGTTGTCTTTTTTATGGGGAATACAAAAGAGTTTTACCAAAAACACTTTTTTCCCCACATTGTCTTTTCTTTCAGTCAGTTAATTTGGCAAGAAAAACATTTGTCACATTGACTGTCACTGGTCACACTTCATGGCAATAACACTCATGAATGTGACTGCATAGTACCCTTTTATCTCAGTACCAACAAACACCATAAACTTTACAACACTTACAACACTTGGAGTACCTTGCACAAGCATAATGATCTGAAAGTGACCTCTGTCCACTTTAGCCTGTGCTATAACACACTGTTTTTAAAAGGGGACCATGAATCTGAAAGAAATTTAAAATGAACAACCTCTACTTTAATAAAAGTAAAGGACACAAGTCTCCAGTTTGCAGAGATTAACCAGAAAAACAAGATGTCACTTGACTAAGTGTAGCGTTCTGTAAATGATATGTCAAACGTTATGTCCTCTTACATTTCAAAACATATTGGACAGACAGGTCTACAGGGGAATATGAGCTTTTAAGGTTTCTGTGATAAAGACACCTTGATCCCTTTATATTTATCTTTAGCACATCAATGAACAATCTGTCGTTGATGTATAAAACATGAGGTAATAATGTTTGGGTGGGATGTGACTGTCTGAGGAGCCAGGTGTGTTTGAGTACATTCAACACTTCCTGTTGCAAGAACATTATTGTATAATATACTATATTAAAGGAATAGCTCTAACATTTTGTGAAGTACGGTTATTTACTTTCTTGCAGAGAAACAGTAAATATGAAGCTAGAACTGGTGGCTGGCTAGTTTAGCTTAGCATAAAGACTGGAAACGGCTAATTATATTTAATTAGTTGAATCAGTACAAAAAACAATGCGTAAAAAGGACAACTTGCTGGTTTACCGGGGATAATTGCCTTGCTGTTGCAACCAGTGGAGACTCCAGAAAGTTACTGGTCCCGGACCAAGCAATAGTCCAGCACACAACCCCGTAAAACATGTTGTTTTTCCACTAAGCTAAGCTAACTGGCTGCTGGCTGTAGCTTCATATTTACTGTACAGATGAGTATACTTCTCATCTAACTCTGCAACAAAGTAAATTGGCGTATTTCCTAAAATGTTAAACTTTTTTGGTACATAACATATAAATGTAAAGTACGTCACATAGTATAATATGCAATACAATGCCCATGCCTCTTCTTTGTTTTAATGCTGTACAAGGTGATGCTTTTCAGTCTTCACACAAATACATTTGGTAACAAAGTCTGAGATTTCATTCCACAAATAAAACGTGACAGAACTTAGGTCTCATCTAAACAACATGTCCCAGATATAAAGCTCTGCCTGTAAAAGTGCCACTGCTGTGGCTTCATTTTAAACAAAGCAGAGGGAAAACACTTAGAGCTTGGGTTCAAACTGAGTCACATTAAGGATGATATGGGAGGAGGTAGTACAGGCACATGGCCTCATATAAGAGTCTGATGTTTAAATAAAGCCCTGTGTTTTTCTCCAGTATCAGACAGAGAGAGATCAGATGGAGGTCAGAGCAAAACTGACAAGTGCTGCAAACATACATACATATATGTGTGTGTGTGTGTGTGTGTGTGTGTGTGTGTATATCTATCAGTTTGTATTCATAACATTCAGTTTGTACCGGATATGTAATCTTTGTGAGCTCTGATTCAACCCAATCTGATCTCAGTCTGCCTTACTCTGGAGTCAGCTGGCTTCACTGTCCCGGTACGTAGGGCCAGCTGATGGAGCTCCCCGACAGCTGCATGTCTCGGATCAGCGTCTCGATGGGTGTCTTGCCCACTAGCCGCATGAAGAAGAGTTGGGAGATGAGGTTGGCTGGCACGGCGCGCAGAGCCGGCAGCCGCAGCAGTAAGCGGCCAAAGCGCTGAGGCTGGTTGGGGTACTGCAACCTCTCGTACTCTGTTAGGGCCACCTGGGCCTTCTCCTGTAGGGAGTCCACATGGGCTGGGTCTGTCAGACCACATGCATCTGTCAGGCAAAGAAACACAAGATGATCACCATTTGATTCATCTGTTGCTCTGTTTTTGTACATTTTATATATTATACTTATAGCTTCTTTATCCGTATGTCATTTTAAATTGTAAGTTCCTGCTTTACTTACATTTGTGGTCCCTTTAAGGAATAGTTCTACATTTTGGAGAAAATATGCTTAATTGCTTTCTTGCGGAGAGTTTGAGAAGCTCTAACCCTCTGATAACCCACAGCTCGTCTTTGTTATACTTACTATTTGTCAAGATTAGACAAGCAAGATATAACAAGTTTCCAGTCTCTATGCTAAGCTAACTGGCTCCTGGCTGTAGCTTCATATTCAAAGGACATCGAGGTGGTACCAACCTTCGCATATAACTCTTGGAAAGAAAGTGAATAAGTGTATGTCAAACTGTTCCTTTAAAGGAAATTGTCTCTCTTTTTGTCCCCCTTCAGTGAGGTCAGAGGTCACATTCAGGCAAGTCAAAGGAGCCCTGTCAAAATGGACCCTGCCTAATACATCATACAGACAGTTTTTTTTTTGGTCTTCTATAAAGACACATGGGATCAGTTTACAGCAAAGACATCCAGTTACAGGAGCTTTAATCACCCAGATAGCCTTGCAACAAAACCAGACTTACCGGGTGAAAAGAGTGCAATGGCCTTGAGGCAGCTGTACTCGGCTGAGTCCACCTGCAGCCTGTTCAGCTTGTCCACCTGGTCTTGGAAAATCCTGACCTGGTCCATGAAGGACACCACTCGCTCAGCAGACATGGGAGATGAGTGGAACCCGGCAGCTGCCAGCAGAGGAGCCATGTGTAGAGGCAGAGCAGACTGAGCTGCGTTCAGGATGAAGAGCTCGCTCCAGCTCAGCCTCAGCAGCGCCACCTGTAGAGTTGAAAGAAAGGGTGAGTCCCAGCAGGCATTTGGACTTTGTCATAGTAGGGAATGCAAAAAAGAAAGGGCTATCTGGAGGTCAGGACCAACAAAGGTACATCATATAAAGGTAAATCTGAGGGGCCACATGTCGAGTAAAAGGATAAGAAAGAATAAAATCAATGTCTCGGTGTCAGGCAGACCGGAAGTTTCGCAGTGAGCTTTAATATTTGCACATGAATTTTAAAATAGACTCCGTAAGGTGGTTAAAAAAACAAAACAAAAAAAAGACAGGAAAAGAAAACAAGTCACAAAGTACTGTATGTCTTGACTCACCTGCTCTGAGACTGGAAGTTCTGGGAAGTATGGGATGTTTCTGGCCCACTCGATGGTGCTGAAGAGGAGCCGGGCAGCCAGCTCACAGATGCTGTCGATACCCATGACGGAAGCTCCGCTGGCAGATGCCTGCATCTGGGCCTGACTGTACGGGTTCACGTAGCGGCTGCTGGGGTACGGCTCAGCTCGGAGGAGCTGGGAGATGAGCTCTGACACCGGCTGTCCATTAAAGTAATCTGCCCCAATGGGACCTGGCACTGCACCTCCAACTCCACCAGCCAGGGAGTTGGGACTGATACCCGAGTGAGATGGAGGGATTCGTCCTCTCTGGACTGCTGCAGAAAGACAGACAGCAGAATGAGGATCTGAACAGCCTGGTGGAGGTGTGTGTGCTCTCTGAGAAACCGGTCCTTGTCCCTTTAGACTCATTCACTCAGTAAATTACAGTTTTCAGTTTGAATTTTGATTTGAAGGTTGTAGAAAATGGATTTACATTTCTAAAGTAACAAAATTGAAAGTTTAAGTCAAACTCGTCATATTGTCGCTGTTCTGTGAAAACCATGTGTAAAAAACCTTGTCAGCTGTCTGACAAGGTTTTAAATGGTATATCAAGCTTAAGAGGTAGCTAAGTGTTCTCAACCCTTAACTGTTTCCTTCAATGTTTCTAAAAACTGTCTTTGCACAGCGACAATATGTCCAAAATGTAGATGTTTAGTCAATGTAATTTCTTGTAATAAAATGAAATAATGTTTTCATCAACAACCTTTTAACAATGTAATTATGAGACATCGATTGCAGTCTAATACGGAGAGTGCTGCTCCTATTTGTAGTCCTTAGTGATTATAATGTAAGACCAACATCTTGATGCATGTGAGCGCTCTGTCTGAGGTTAATGGAGCGCTGCCCTCTCTGCACCACACTTTAAAAACCACCACTGGCTGTTTTAAATATAGGCTTTAGTTTCAAAGGCCAAAATCTCACTTAAGGCAGTGAGCATGTGCTTCTCTGTCTGGGTTAGAGGTGAAACAGACGTTACCATCTAATGTGGAAACAGCGCAGTCTGCGTCATGGGCCATGGTCAGCGTGGTTCATTAATAACCTGGCTCAATATAACCCCTGTCAGACTGTCACCTCACTGCACATTATGTATGTATGGCACAGCGGCTCGTGGTGTCCTCTGACACAGGCTGAAATACAAGTACGGTTACAGGGAACTGGAATACAATTACAAATGCTTTTGAAATAGTTTGTGATGTGATAATGAGGGTAAGATTGCTGGTATGAAAATAATTACACCAGGGGAAATGGGAATCATCTTTTCTTACTACTAATCAGACTTGCAGAAATTAAGCAAAGTATAACTGTCATTAAATGTATATATATATATATATATATATATAGACACATGCTGTAAAGAGACTCAGATGTTTCAATGTGTTGAGTGAACTTGTCAACTTCGAGCTCCGGGTTGACAACATGCTTTGGTTGATAGTATAAATATTGTGCTTGGATCACTGGCAAATGTCAGTGGCTGTTTCTGTCGAAATCAGCATTTTCTCTGCGGACTACCCATTTCTTATATTTTTGTACGTGTGTTTCTAGGTATTTGTGCTTTGCTGAAGGGTGTTTGTACATGAATCAGGCTATTTGTTGGTATGTAAAAGGAGAAGATATGATTGGTTTAAACCTCAGTGCTAGAAAGTGGCTTCATACATATACTTAAGTACTGTATTTAAGTACCAATTTTGAAGTATTTGTACTTTGCTTGACTTCCATTTTATGCTACTTTATACCTCTATTCCATTCAATTTCAGGGGGGAATGTGGTATTTTTCTTTTTGCACTACACTACATTCATTTGACAGCTGCAGTTACTTTGACGATCAAGATATTATATAAATAACATATATGATTGTGTTATAAAATATGATTAAATTCAAGTTTAAACTAACCAACATATAAAATACATCAATTTGGCTCCATCTCTCCCAGCTACAAAATTAGAATGCTATTATAATACTAATAATAATAATACATTTTTACCTACAAAGCAAGTAGCTTACTTTTAATACTTTTAGTGCAATTTGCTGATCAGTAAAATGTTGAAAGCAGAACCTTTAAAGAAGGATTTTTCAACTTTTACTTGAATTTACTGATTTGTTTGGCTACTTGGAGGCAGCGCAACAAGCTGTAAACATAACACTAATTTTAAGTTGATATGGCAAACATGTTATCCAGCAGTTGCTTATTTACACATCCAGCGGTTAAGGAGCAACATTGGTGTTCCATTTGAGTTAAGTCCAATATTCACTCTCTTTTAGCTCTGTTTTTGGTCTCCACCAACTCCTGAAGGAAATATGTCTTTTAGCTGCTAAATGCTATGTTCACTAGTCACTAACTGTGTCTGTCTGCTGTTTGATGTTTGCCAGGCAGTGTACATTAGGTTCATCGGGGCTTTCTGTGGCTTCTGGAAACACTGCTAATGAAAGTGAACCAAAACAGTAAAGTTGATGAGCTGAAAAATGCTAAAATGGTCCTTAGAGCTGATGGGAGGGGAAACAGGGGATAATTCCCATTAGGTTTTCAACACGTCACACATAGTCAGTAAATCAATTGTTAATACAAAAATAACAATTAGTGCAGCTTTAAGTAAAGGATCTTCCACCACTGGGAAACCTAAACGTAAAACAATAACCTCACTCTTAGATTTTTCACCTCTTGCAATAAAAAAACAAAAAAACAAAAAAACTCATTCACGTGTCTTCTAATCCTAAAATAAACACATTTTAACCTGCTGTGCAATGGATGACAGAGCTTTGATACCTTCTTTGCGCATTCCTACACGGAAACATTTCTTCAGACGACAGTATTGGCACTGGTTGCGGTGATGCTGGTCGATTTGGCATTCTCGATTTGACCTGAACGAAGGAAACAAACGATGAAACACTTACTGAAGAGCAAAAAAAATGATAGTCACCGTTAATACCATGATAGTAAGATGCTTTAAGTGAGTTTCTAATAATGAAAGAAGTTTATATTTACATCTTTGTCTTCCCCCTTCCTCTCCCTCTATCCCCCTCACTGACTCCCATGGTGAGTGAACTATGTGAGCTCTGCGAGGTTGAAAAGCTGGCTGTGACCTTTGTAAATCATAGGCCTTACCCGCCCTTGGTTTGCCTTTTACACCAGAACGAGGTCTGCCAACATTTCACCGAGAGCGTTTTTCAGACGTGACAAACTGACTGGAAAGACGATTATTATGTGGAAGAAACGACTACATTCAGAGGCTCAGAGTAGTCTTAGTAAGAGCAGAGAATTAAGTTGCAACATTGGGTTCCTGTGGTGAAGAATAATGGAAATGTTGACCTTCTGAGGCAATCCATCCTCACATGACTGACCTTCAGGGCTTTCATTTATTTTATTTGTGAGACACACCCAAGGCTGGAGCATATCACTCTGACTGATGTCTGGAGAAACGGACTAATCTGCTGTGTCTATTCATAAATGTGAATGTCGGAAAACAGCCCCATCCCACATTTAGCATTTAAAAGCATTATATAAACATTTACTAAATGGTTTATAAAACACTATAATGTAGTTGAATGCAAATATAAGGACATTTTAAGTGTTTATTGATATAGATTATTAGTCATCAATTATATCTTCTCCTATAAAGACATATTTTATATTATTACGATATTGTTGCTCATTATTTGTTCATACCCTAACCTCCAATTAAACAGGAGGAGCTATAGTTGTTGACAAATACATTAATAACATTAATATCTGCTGACAACTATACATACTTTACAGTGTGTTATTAACAATTTGTGTTCCCAAAAGTGTTACCAAAAAAGACACTGTAATCATACAAGAAGAGCAAGCTAAATTAATTCTGTGTCCTTTAACTCTATACTCTATACTCTATACTGTTCAAACTATCAACAAAACAAGACATCACTTTGAATCTCCCAGCAGCCCTCACCTGCAGGAATAGTTGAGGTTTCTTCTGATGCTCCTTTTAAAGAAGCTCTTGCAGCCCTCGCAGGTGAACACACCATAGTGCTTTCCACTGGACTTGTCCCCGCAGACCACACAGTCCACCACGCAGGCCTTGTCCTCGTCCCCGACGTCTACGTCACTGCTCCCGGCTTGAGGCGAGCCCTCCTCTTCCTCCCTCCTCAGGTAAGCCTTCTCCCCCAGTCCATTAGTGTCCCCGTTGGGGTTGCCCCATCCCCCGCTCACCATGGCCATATTCTCTGAGACACGCAGCCCTGTGAGTGGATCATACACAGACCTGCCCCGTCCCCCAGCCTCCGACTACCCTTTAAGTCTAAAAACTGATCCCAGACAACAAAACAGCTCCAGACTTTTATTAAAGTCAGGTTTTGTCCGAGAAGATCTAGAAGTGGGATAAAAAAGTTGTTCCGGACTCTCCCGTGTTGACCTTTCTCCCCTTTGCCGTCTGGTTGTAATGACCTGGAGGTCCTTCGCAGTGCTGTTTTCTCTCTGGCTCTTCTTTAATCCCTCTGCTCTCTCTGTTCTTGTCTTCCACCCTTGTGTTCTCTGTCCTGACCTTCGATCAATGGCTCCCGAGGTCTGAGAAAACTTCAGACATGCATTGAGTGGTTCAGAGTTCAGGCAGGAGAAAAGGGTGCAGCCTTGCTCTTTTCACTGGAAACAATAAATTACACTTTGACTCTGTCTCTCTTTCTCCTTCCCTCCCACTTTCTCTCTACGTCCCCCCCCCCA